CATCATGATGGCGTTTCAGATAACAAAGACTGTTCGGCGCTACACAATTACATTATGTCTCCAAATGAATACAATGATGAACAAACGCGCTATAATTATATGTACCTGTCAAAGTGCTCAATACGACAAATTAAAAAAGTACTCAGGTAAGTAAATAAAAAAAATAATTTTAAAAATAAATTTAAAAATTACAAAATAGATCAAAGCGTCTCCCTCTCCTTGTGGGTGACAAATTATTTTCCACTCTCCAACCTCTCTCTCTCTCTCTCTCTCTCTCTCTCACACACACTCACACACTCACTCACTCACTCACTCACTCACTCACACATGGCGAGCCTCTGACTACTATATCGCTACATTCCATAGAAAGTGCTCGAACGAACTATATTTGTTGGTTCCTTCAGGTCTAACCTTCACTGCTAGGACCTACCATGCCACTTACATAGTTGCAAACTACCCATATATCTTCCGTCTTCCATCGGCGAGAAGTATGTTCCACCGGAACAGCTTCTCCCCGGGAACCACTGCCCTGGGGAACAGACTCCCAAAAGAATATTTCCCCGATTATTACAATCTTAATCTGTTCAAGTTTAACTGTTATCTTCCCCTCTTAACCGTATAAACTGTCCCTTGACATAACATCTAGTGTCGCTGACAATACTAACCTGGCCATGCGTCTCGAAAAGGACCTCCAATCGGTTATGAACTGGGGAAGGAATTGGCTGGTCAACTTTAATGCCTCAAAAACAAAACTGCTCTCTATTAATCACCACAGAGATCCTTCCCTGTCCCCCATTAGAATGTCTGATAGTCAACTTCTTGAGAGCAACTCTTTGCGACTGCTCGGTCTCACGTTGACTGCTGACCTGAGATGGAACAAATACATTGAGTCAATTGCTTCGTTCACCGCAAGGAAAGTTAGCTCCCTGTGCCGCGCCAGGAAATTTTTCTCCCCGGAATCGATCCTCCAGATCTACAAATCAACAATTCGCCCTTGCATGGAGTATTGCTGCCATATATGGTCTGGAGCCTCTTCTGTTTGCCTCGGGGTTCTTGATAAGATCCAGAGGCGGATGTGCAATATAATTGGCCCTGATCTAGCATCTCGTCTACAGTCGCTCTCTCACAGACGTGCCGTCGCCTCTCTCTGTCTGTTTTACAAATACTTTCATGGCAATTGCTCCGAGGAGCTGCATTCGTTGGTTCCCAGACTTCATGAATTCAAGCGCCCTACGAGGGTGGCATCCCGCTCTCACCCTTTCACTGTTGAAACTATTAAATGTAGCCGTCTTCTTCTACTCCAGTAGCTTCATATCTTGCACCTCTCGCCTATGGAACTCCCTTCCCTATTCCTGTTTCCCTGAGAGCTATAATCTCCAACTATTCAAATGTAATGTCAATCGACATTTCCAGTTGCCTTGATCTATCCACTATCCTTCTCCCCATCCTTTCCTCTATCACTCATATCTGCTCTCGCTCCAAATCCTATGTAACCCCTTGCGTGCTAGTGACTTGCCGCCTTGCTTGGGGTGAAACACTTTAAAAAAAAAAAAAAAAACTCTATCTGATAAGCCGTAAAATTGATTTCTATGAATTGATCAATATTTCTTGTCTTCCGGGATCTGATTGTCCCAAGAGGAAGTAAACGAGTTATCTCCCTTACACTGTATATCTTCCATCCTCTTCTATGTACCGTAAGCCTTCAGGGTATTGGAGATCATGGCTCTCCACTATTCCCAGTCCTTAATAAAATATTATCTTTTGTTATCTCTCGTAAACCTTGTTCCTCCATCCATTTACTCGTCAGCTACTTTATGAGTTGTTTTCTTCTGTCTCTCTTGCTTTCAATTCGTCCTGTGAGCGTCAAATTTTCCAAGCCCTCTTTCCTCATTATGTACACTAGAAATTTCAACTGTCTTTTCCTGATGTTAAGTAAAAGTGCCCTTTTTGTTTCTATTTTCTCTAAAACTTTGTCGTTGCTTACGTGTCCTGTTCATGCTATTCTCAGCATCCTTCTGTAGAGCCATATTTCTTTTACTTCAAGTCTCTTCTTTATCTGTGAGGAGATTGTCCAGCATTCACCTCCATATAGGAGGACTGATATTACATAGCAGTTCAGTACTCTTTTATTTGTTTCTAGTGAAATTTTCCTGTTTCTTAATACTTTGCTTAGGTTTTCAAAGACACCTTTCGCTGTCCAAGATGTGCCTTCAGTAGGAGTTCTTGTAGTTTCCTTTATATATGTCTGTTATCAACACTATCTCATCTGCATATATTATGTTGTTAAAACTTGTAATTCTCTCAGAATTGCCTCATCCAATGAGAAGACACATCCTTGTCTTTTAGCCTTTTCTATTTTTGTATATTTATTGAAATCGTTTTCTCTCCGTATGCAGGTGGTTTTCCCCTTTGGAACCTTAAATGACAAAGATTCTTTCATTATTGCTTGATTTCTACTAATTTGCAACTGCTTTTTACATTTCATTTCAGGAGTGGAAATGCCGAGTGTCTCTTTGACAAACCACGAAACATTTACACATACGATTTGAGAAAATATCCACCAGGAAGGAGTTATTCTGCGAATGAACAATGTAAAATGATTTACGGCAAGAATTCAGGCACTTGCAATGTAAGTAGACATTTCTCAACTTTGGAAAAATCATTCATAATTGGTACGTCACAATCTCCACGAGTAAACCAAATACTGACCTTTGTGCCAATATGCAACTACCTCAGCCACTAGACAGATTCATTTTTATATAGCCAACTTGTTTAACTGCTGAATTAACATAGATTATTGGGCAAACTTGCACCTTCATACCTGCAAAAACCTTTGTCAAAAGGGTGGTTTTTTGCCTTCACACCGCTGTTATTTTAACTAACATCACTCCTTGGCAATATTTATTGTTTTTAAAACGATAATTGGTGTAATAACATCTAAACATATGATGAAAGTGAACTTATGCATTTTTTATTCTTAAGAATTGACAACAAAAATAATAAACACTATTTATTTATTAGATTGTTTCTTTACAAGAATATTTTTTATATTTACAACATTCTACAAACTAATACAATGCAATATTTATCATTTACCAATTTATAAAGAACTAAATATGAAAAAAAATTTTATACATAAATTTATAAACATTTACTAAATTATTAAAATATGTAAATAATATTATTTACCATTTTATAACGTTCGAATCAATTAGCAATTAGCCAATGTTTTGCCAAACGTGCCAATAAACAATAGTGTAAATAAACAATCTAATAAATAGCGTTTATTATTTTTGTTATCAATTCTCAAAACAAATGTATAACTTTAATTTTCATATGTTTACGTCTTATTCCAATTCTAATTATTGCTTTTTAAAACAATAAATATTACCAGGAATGAAGGCAGTTAAAATATAAGAAGTGTCATAAGAAAAACCGCTTTTTTAACAGTCCATTTTTTTTGTGTGTGTGTGTGTGTGTGTGTGGACACAAAGGTCCAAGTTTATTTTACAATCTTACATTTGAAAACTTTCAGCAGAGGCAAAAAAAGAAGAAAAAAATGAACAGCCCATGTAACTAGAAGATAATGATATAATCAAAAGTTTAACTTTTCCACACTACCAAAAACAAAATGGCTAAAAGAAAACTCCCATCAGTACCAGAAAGAACAATTAGTAGACTTGATGAGTAAAGTTTCCTGAAAAACTGTTTAAAAAAAAAACTATTGTGGGATTTGGGGACAATGAATGCTTCATATATGAAAACTATCAAATTCACCATTAGCTATTCCCTATCACTTATTTGTAAATAATCCCTATTTAACTGATGAAATGATCTGATATTTAACTTGCAAGAAACTTTTAGAAGCATTTATTTGAATGTAATGAAAACAAAGAAGTAAGTTTCAGGTTAAAAACAAAAAGCTTGGAAGGAAACTCCCTTTCAATATTAGAAAAGGTAAAAAACATTTAATGAACTTGAATTATGTGAAAAACTGTCTAAATAGAAAGATTTTATAAATTTTAATGAATGCCATGTTTCTTGCATGGAAACGGTTAATCTCACCTAGAAGTCATTTTTTTTTTCACTAATATTTCAACACTCGTATTTTTTGTCTGTTCACACTACCTAAAACAAAATGTTTGGAAGGAAACTCCAATCATTATTAGAAAGAGCTATAACATTTACTGAACTTAAGAAGTTTAACAATGTTTTAAGTAAAAGAAATGATTAATTTCAACTGAGAGTGACACTGTTTAGTCAATGTCTGTTGAGTGATTCCTGAATAGAAACTGTTAAATTTATTATTAGCATTTCCATCATTTATTTATTTGTAAACAGTTAATCTCACCCTTAGTCAAGAAGTCATATTTATAACTAATATTTCAAAACTTTTTTTTCTTTTCTTCTTGCAGCAAACCCGATTATTAGACAAAATGTGTTTCACTTTGTGGTGTAAAGACCCAATCCAGACAGAAACATGTCGTGCCATGGGAGGTGTCCGTGCAGTCCCTGGAACAAAATGTGATACTGATAAGGTACATTTAAGTAAAGCGTCTATTGTTTGTTTGTGTGTGTATGTATATATATATATATATATATATATATATATATATATATATATATATAAAATCATTTTTACATTTTATCACCAACTGCAGTAAATCGTCTAGGGTGTTATTCATCAGAATAATGTCCACAAAACAACTTTGCCAAATAAAATCAAATATATAAAAACTGTATAGATATATAAAACCCCTCTTCCCCCAAATCCCATACATTACACTGGGAAGTGTAAAGCAATGCCCTTCCAACCTGTTAGGTGTTGCTAGCTCCATACCCAAATAGTTTGGAATTCAAAGCTGTCCTTATCTTAATCTGGTTGCCAACCAAGGCTAAAATGACCAGTCTGCACTACTATTTAACCCATAGTTGGAGGGGAGAAGAGATGGATTTTTCCCATGAAGTGGAATTCAAACACAATTTACACATTTCATGTTCTGAGTTGTTAAACATTAAACAATCTGCATATCCTGTATATGATTTTATGAAAACTTGCTATTGACAAACAGTTTTCATATCAGAAGGCCACTTGAACTTCTCCATTTCCGAACTCGTTATTCCATACCTCACCTGATGATTTTTGAGACTAAGAAAGGCATATTTTATTTTGTTATATAAATATTTATCTTAAAGACTGGATCATGTGATAATATTTATTGACTGGATCACGTGTTAAAGTTATCGAAGCCTATTATGAAAAAGGACGTTCAAATTTATAAATATACTGTCCAATGATTCCACTAGCAAAAATGCACACCAAACAGTGACCTTTTGTGGATGCAGTGGCTTTTCAACAATCTTCCTTGGATTTTCATCAGCCCAAATGCGACAATTCTGCTTATTAACGAATCCATAAACAGGATTTTTTGCTAAAAAATCTTCATCGATTTGTCTCTGCTCATGCACCCAATTGACGAATGTACGGCGTTCCAAATGGTTAGCAGGTTTCAGTTCTTTTGTCAATTGAAGTTTGTAAACGTGTAGAGACAAATCTTTTGTCAAAATTCGATGTAACATTGTCGTGGAGAGATTCAATTCCTGTGCGCGATGACGAATAGAGGGGGTCTGGATTTTCGGCCCCATTCTCGTGCACTGCAGCAATGTTTTCAGCTGAATGGCGTAAACGAGCACGCAATGGTGTTTTCACATCTGCCACTGACCCAGTTTGTTTGAATTTACAAACAATTTTTTCTAGTTGCACTCTCGGTTGGTCGATTATGTTAACCAAAAAAAAAAAAACGCGTGAAATGCATGAACGTCCATTTTCGTCATAGGCTTCGATAACTTTGACACGTTGTTTGATTGTTAATCATTCCATGGTTAAAATTGACAAAGACTTAAGTTGTTAAATCTGAAAGAAAAAAATATCATTAGATGCTTAAACTTAATTCACATTTAAAATCGGTCCAAGTGATTGGAACACTCCATATTTATTGACTGGATCATGTGATAAAAGATGATTATCTATTTTTAAAAAAAGTAATATTTATTTAAATTTTCTTTGTAGATGTGTTGGCGAGGAAGTTGTATAGACGAATTCAGAAGGAAGAAACCACAATGTTTAGCAAAATCAAGTTAGTCTTTCTTTCTTTCTTTCTTAACATTATTTTTCCATTTTCTTTCTTTCTTTCTTAACATTATTTTTCCATTTTCTTTCTTTCTTTCTTTCTTAACATTATTTTTCCATTTTCTTTCTTTCTTTCTTTCTTAACATTATTTTTCCATTTTCTTTCTTTCTTTCTTTCTTAACATTATTTTTCCATTTTCTTTCTTTCTTTCTTTCTTAACATTATTTTTCCATTTTCTTTCTTTCTTTCTTTCTTAACATTATTTTTCCATTTTCTTTCTTTCTTTCTTTATATTAACAACCAGTGAAAATTCTATAAAGCCAAATTTCCTTCATTTGCCCGTAAATTGTCCACAGTTATTACCCACTGAGGATGAACACTTAAACATAGGGAATGTCTTGCACGACATTGATAACCTGGACTTTGTTGAAAAAAGCTGGACATTTCACAGAATTGGTTTAGTGAATTAATAGTTGTTGGAAGAACTTGATGCAGGATTCCTGTAAACTCAAAGGAGCTTCAGTTTAATAGAGCTACAACTCCTCACAGTATTTAGTATTGCTGGAGTTACCACTAACATTTTTTGTCAAGATTTGCAAACGCTACATTTCATTCAATTTCGCAAACCAATCGCTGAACTTTCAATAAGCTGATTTATTTGGAAAGAGGCATGACATGCGGAACTAGAATAATCTACTCCGGTGGATGAAATAAAGAGTTCACTTCGAAATTCCAATTACCTGAAGAAGGCTGAAGCATACAACGACCGAAACATATGGCAACAAAAATGAGAACAACAGTCCAAACAATGTAAATAGTATAAATATTTACCATGCCTCATCTCAGAAACATAGACATAGATATTTCTCTGTTATGAGAAATTGGAGAATATTTACTTTTGTCAAAAGAACTGAAACTTAAGTTTGTCTCTAGCATCACCAGCCAACATTTAAAGTACGGATAAAGCTTTAAGTTTTTATATTATTGATATATATATATTATTGATAAAAAAAATAATATATATATATATATATATATATATATATATATATATATATATATATATTATTGATAAAATAGACCAACCTACCTGGAACAAATTTTGGTGTCAGCAAGGAAAATTGGTTCCGTGTGTCGTGCCAGAAAGTTTTTCTCACCTGAGTCCATCCTTCAAATCTATAAATCAACCATTCACCATTGCATGGAATACTGCTGCCATATATGACCCGGTGCCTCCGCTGTTCGTCTTAAGGCCCTCGACAAAATCCAGAGACGGATATGCAATATGTGATAGGTCCTGATCTGGCATCTCGTCTGCAGTCTCTCTCTCACAGACGTGTCGTCGCCTCCCTCTATCTTTTCCACAAGTACTTACACGGTAACTGCTCCGACGAACTACTTTTGCTAGTTCCCAAACTGCATGAATTTAAACGTGTTACTAGGCTGGCATTTCGATCCCACCCTTTCACTGTCAAAACAGTTAAATGTAGCCGTCTCTTCTACTCCAATAGCTTCATATCTCGCACCTCCTATCTGTGGAATTTCCTTCCTATTACTTGTTTCCCTGATAGCTATAATCTCCAACTATTCAAATGTAATGTCAATTGACATTTCCAGATGCCTTGATCTATTTCTCTGTCCTTCTCTTCATCCTTTCCTCTATCACATCTCTTTACTCTCGCTCTCACTCTGTAAGCCCCTGCGTACTAGTGGCATCCTGCCTTGCTTGGGGTGAAATGCTTAAAAAAAATGTAGGGCAAGATTTTAAAAGTATGCTTTCTCGAATAAATAAAATCTTCGGAATCTAAGTGCAAGATCTCTTCAGATTTGATTTGAAAACATAAGAGATCAGTTAATTTATGACAAATTGTTTTTAAATTAAAGATATCAAAGAAGTGGGGTGGCAGAAGGGGTTTACAAGAAACGAATTCAATCTCATGTAAAATTCCAATGTTATTGGATTTTCAATAGATATATTTTCAAGACTTGCGTACTAGTGGCATCCTGCCTTGCTTGGGGTGAAATGCTTAAAAAAAAAAGTCATAATCGTTCTTTATCAAAGAATGCCTATTTCTTTTTCTTAGAGCTGGAAGGAAAGTCAAAAATATCAAGTGACCTTCTTTGTGCTTCAGCCAAGTATACATGCACCCCCCACCCCAATAAACTTGTTATTAAGGAATTTTGTTTTGTTTATGCTAAACTTTTTGACTATTTCAGAAAACTGCAAGGGCCGTGATAAGAATCGCCAATACTGTAGTCGTCTCATCAAATTGAACCCGTACGCATGTCAGCGTGGCGAAGTGATCAAATATTGCTGTCAGACATGCAAACGATGTCATAAGCGACGTTCTCGTAGGAGGAGAAAAGTCAGAAGGAGAAGGGCAAGATCTCGAGCTTTTTCATCATGAACAATTTAAAAAGAAAAGAAAAAAGGGAATAATATTAAACAAAGGCAACGATATTCAGAGAACTTAAAACGATTACTTGCTTACTTATTTTAGTCAGTGCATCATTTTACTTACAATTACTGCCACGTGACAAATAATAGTCAGTGCATTATTTAAACAAATTAACCATGATGAACAGTGCCTTTTTATGTTGTCATCTGTCACTTATATTATTGTTGACTAAAACTGTTTTTAAGTTTATATAAGTAGCGAAGTAATCGTTCTAAGTAACGGGTTAATCGAAATAAATGTTTTCTATATTCAGATTTGTTTAATGCAACAAATTTGCATAATTTGTTGCATTAAACAAATCTGAATATCAAAGCTAAAAGGTGAAAGAACAACATTTATGATCAGCTAATGTGCCCATGCTCTTTGTCACACGTGTTGTCTAACTTTCACAACATTTTAAATATTAAACTGTTTAGTTTAAATATTAAACTGTTTAGTTTAAATAGAGCTAAACACAAATCATTCATATTTTAAAGATATCAAGTTTTTTTTTTTTTTTAATTTTGCTTCACCAGTTAAATATCTTCTTTTTTTTTTTTTGCCCAACTTGTCCAAATACATTAAAGAATTTTTTTAAAATCATCTACTAAAAAAATACATGAGAAATCCTAAATGTTCTAAATTCAATTGGCATTCATTTTTACACCAAATAATAAACTGAATTTCTCCAAACTAATTCAACACACCCTACATAATAAGAAACAAATATTTATAATAAAAAAATGTGTATTTTTAGACTAAAGTAAATATGCTGATTCCTAATCTGTTGTCAGGACTTGAAATTGAAATGCATACCCAGGATTGGCAGGGGTCTCACGAGATGTATTTTTCAAACCATACTATTAAATTGTAGACATATAATGCATAATAATAATATAATAATAATTTAATGTAATAATTACTGCATTGCCATCTTCTGGGCTCTTTGTTTTCAGTCTTTGCCATTTGTGGTCTGTATATGTCTCCTACTTTATTATTAACAATATTAATTAATATTTATTATGTTAGTTCAGGATTAATCACGAATGTAAATCACAGACAACTTCTTTTTTTATCTGTGGGAAATTTTCTGTGTAAACAGATTTTAAAATTAAAAACTACCAACAAATATTATTTTGGGAGTAAAATTGGAGAATCAGAGAAAAGTTTGTTATATGTTGAGTATTGCATAAGGCTTATACAGCAGTTTAATGGAAGACAGTAGTGAATGCCTTTTATTATACCAGCGTGAAGGTGTGAGCCAATTTGTGGTTCCTGAAAGAAAAACCAATCAAAAAGATTGTGAGCTCCAAAACTGAACACTATTCCAAGAATCCTTTTCCAGTTTTCCAATGACTCTTAAAAAACCTTGACACACCTCATGATGAACTCCTTCATTCTGCTATGAAGAGTACATAAGTAAATCTAAGAAAAAAGAAAACAAACATATTTTATGAGGAGACCTGTTCTTGTAGAAGAGAAAACGCTTGTTTTTGGATTCAAACAGTAATAGAATTCTCTACAAGACGGCAGGAATGTTTCCATTTTTCTGTTATCGATATGAAAACTGGCTTCTTCAGGAAAAGTAATACTTGTTTCTGTACAAATTAAGAAACTAGTAAGTGGCTCAATTGTTGGAGATTGTATTTTGACTTGAGCAATGTGAACTTCAAAGCCATGTTATCATATAACAGCAATGAAGAATCCTTCCATTCCTGCTGCCAATGTTTTATATAAAATTTGATTGAACTGATTCCAAGAGGAGTTGCTGAATCTACAAGTGGTGATCTAAAAGTGATTTCCCTCATATGGAAACTGCAGCAGAGATTTTTTCAATGCTCAAGAGCCACTCAAGGTAAAGGGTTACTGAATGAGGAGTTATATGAATGTTAGAGGTGGTGGCAGGAAGCAAATATTATGATGATAAAGAGGACAGATAATGATTGACCCTTGACTTGAGGAGGTTAAGATTGTAGTATAGATTTTTTTAATTTTTTTAATCATTTCACCCCAAGCAAGGCGATAACGCCACTATAATGCAAGGAGTTATTGAGAGTAAAAGAGAATGAGAAAACTTTAGACATAATAGAAACCTAACCCTAAACAGGAAATGAGGTTTAATTCATTGGAACAGGACCTGGTTATTAAGAAAGAAGTGGCTGTATTTCATATTTATTTGCTTATTTTTCCCATCTAAAACTAAATACAGTGCCTACAGTACTAATCTAATATTAAAATTATATCTATGTTCAACTTATTATATATGCAAGTCTCAAAATTCTTATGTATAAGAACAATTCTGAGTATAAAATCGGAATCAGTATATTTGGTTTAGTCTAATAAAGAATCATTTACCTTTGTAGCAGACAAAAAATAAATTTTTTTTTTTTTTTTTCATAGTGAAATTTCTTTGAAATTCATACATTACCTGTGTCTAATTTGTAATGATTCTTTGTACCTTGGAATTGAAAATAGAAAATCATTCTAAGAAATATTTAAATGACTTGTTCATTTTCTGCTTTGCCATTTTTACAAGTATAAAGAGGTGGTAATCTCAAATCGGATATTTAATGAAAAACCAAAAAGTGTTATGTCTGTTTAAATTCATCCTTCAAAATTACGATCAAAATACTTGAGAATAAAGATGTAGCTAGATTAACGTGATAAAAAGTTTATATTAACATTTGCCAAAGAGCATTTGAGAAAACATCAAGTAATTTTAGGTCGAGATTCTTAAATTCCAATTATAAATTAGGACAAGGGAACAAACTCTTCATTTTCTTCAAATGGAAAAACAAAATTCCTTTGCCCACAAGAAACGATTTTTATTCCAACTGTTAATTTTATAACAGCATTCAATACACTAAAACTCACCCCTAAATATTAATAAAAGTCTGTAAGTTTGTGGTCAAAGTCTCATTGTCTGCATGACTTCTTGCATTATTTGCAATGATGTCATCTTATTATAGCGCAGGGTATACATGAGACAGGTTACAACAGGTTAAACATTGAGAGTCAATTTTTACAGGGCAGGTTAGATTAAATACTAATGTGTTATAAAAAAAAAATCCTGCTTTAGAAATAAATGAAATCTTACAAATGATTAATTCAAAGTTGACTTGCAACTTATTGCTTCTGCTAAGTCCTTTAAGTCATGGCTCTCCACAATTTCCTGTCTTTTGTTACTTTAAATAACTTCTAATTCTTTACCATCCCTTTGTTTTGCCATACGTTTATCATTTCCCCAGCTTCTCTTGCCCTTTAACATATACTGTGAGTGTTAAACTCTCTAGGCCTGTCTTCCTTATTGCATCCAAGAAATTTCCACTGTCTCCTGGTTGTAAAGTATAAATTTATTTGTTGTTACTATTTCTTTTGATATTTTCTTGTTGCTTATATTCTGTTCATACGGTTCTTAACACTTCACTGGTACAACATCAGATTTGATTCAAGTCTCTTCATCTGTGAGGAAATTGTCCAGCATTTACTGTCAGATAATAGATATTACAAAAAAAAAAAAAAAAAAAAAAACATTGAATTGCTAAGTTTCTAACAATATCTTTGTCTTAATACTTGTCCTTAGTTCCTTGAAGGCATCTTTTGCTATTCTGAGGCACCTTCAAATTGTCACATTTTCCATTGTCTGTGATCACACTAACCATTTAATTAAATTTCTGCATCTGCTCTTTTAAAAATCCTCAACATATTGCTTACACCATGGATCGTTTCTTTTGCTGATGAACATGCATTCAGTTTTTTCTTACCATTACAACCGTGTCTAAGAATTTTTTTTTTTTTTAGGGTGGGGTGGGGATTTTGCCATCAACAGTGTCATCCTCATTACTTTTATTAAGATGTCCTCCAATACTGAATCCTGGCAGGTCTTCAAATTCTGTTAGGATAGGCTTAGGGCTAAATCAATCCAATGAGAAAACTCATTTTTGTCTTACTGCTTTCTATTATTTTTTTTTATTCACAGAATTCTTTATCAGCATGCAGGCTGCTTGTTCCCAGGTTATGGATTACACAAATATCTTTTTTTTTTTTTTTTTTTTTTTTTTTAAAAAAAGTTGTTCTGTATTTCAAGTTTGTAGCTGTGTAATATATAAAACATTGATATGAAATTTTTGTATTGCTCACTCTGATCGTAATGATCAGATTTCTTGCCCCCGCCAATGTCATTGGTCAAATTCTGCTACAAGTTTTATTCATTAGAATCTTAAGGAGTATAGGTATGTGGCTCATTAAACTGGTTGTCGTATGGAGTTTATATTCACTTGATAGTTCTATTAGGAGTTTAAGTATTTTGCCAGTCTCGTTTTATTTATTTCAATGTTATAAATATCAAAATTGTCTAAGGATAACATCTCTTGTACAATCCCATCTGGACGTGCTTTTTCTTCCTATTCACCTTGGCCAGTGCCAGTCTTACATCAGATTGTAACACAACTGGTCCTTCCATATTAGATATTGTTAGTTTCATCCCTTGCTTGTCAGAACTCTATAAGCATTCCTTTTTGTCCTGCTAAATCCTTTACTTTTTTTTTTTTTTCTTGTAGTAGGCATGTACGTTCCAGTGTTTCACTCTACACACATCTTGTTGAGTCATTCACCTTTTGCTAGTTTACAGCTGTTTAAAAATTTCATGTCATCCATTTTATTTTAGTCCCTCCTGATGACTTCTTTTTGCCAATATCACTAATGCTTCCATTAAGATGTTCCAAACTATTTACATCTGATTTTAAAGATACCATAAAATAGTTCAAGGTTTTGTTTTTTTTAAACAGACTTACAGTAAAATGTTCCATGATTTTTTTTTTTTTTTTTATTTCAATTGAAATCAATTTAAAAAAAATTTAAGTAATTATTTACTCATCAAATAAAAAAAGCAAAACAGAAGGCTGGCAGCTGTTTTAAGAATTCCTTCAAAGTTCTTTATTGGTTTTTCCATTTGTGCAGTGATGAAGATGCTACATTTTGTTGCTTACACTACCAGTCATGCAAGTGAAAATTGAGCAGCTGTTAATTGAACACATTGTAATTGACTCCCTTTTAATTATTATTCAATTCTCACATTGCAAAGAGATGAAAGGCTTTTGTAAATTAACCCCCCCCCCACACAGTCAATACTCATAATGCCTAACTGAAGAAATGCTTCTTCATCTTTTTAGCCACATAAGATTTTGTGCAGACTTTCCAAAGAAACGTGAGAAAAGGAATAATTAATTTACAACTCCAATCCATTTAAAGATTAAAATGTTACTATTTTCTCACAAGAGTAGCATCTGTAATAAACCATTTATTGCTTTTGTTGCAGTCACTGTTAATGTTTTTTTTATGAAGGATATGTGCAATATATTTATTTGATAAATCTTGAAATGCTTCAAAAGGAAAAAAAAAAAAACAAAAAAACTATTTTTGTACATTCAATTGTATTTGTATATTTTGTTAATTTTTAGTAACTTATATTTAATATTTATGAATAAACACTTGTGCTTTATGTCAACTGATTTGCTATTTTTGTCTTCATTTCATCATTTTTCACAAAAAAAATATTCAACCAAAGGCCAAGCAAGCACAGGCAAATATGTTTGTAGACAATTGTAGGACAACTGGAGAAGTTTTTATCAAGGGACTTTTAGTGACATCCAATAATTAGCTAACTGACTAGCTAATTATTTCTTATAGTCAAAAAGCAGAGAAAATCTAACTGTAGAAATCAAAGTGGTTTCAACTTTTGCAAAAATATCCAACTGGGCAATAAATTACTTGGAGATATTTTGAAAGAAATTACTTGTAGTTAATTTAAAATTCCACAATTCAGTTGGTTTTATATTGCAGAAATTCTGTAACAAAAGTTTCCAAATGAAGAGAGAGCATAGTTGCCTTAGGCAACAAAAAAAACAAAAAAAACTTCCTAATATGAAAAAAAAAAAAAAAAATCAAACGAAAGCAAGAAACGTTTTTGTAAAAGTTGGAGGTACAGTTTATCAACAACTAATAATTGATTCCTAGTAGGAAGTAAAGTTGTCAATTACTGGGTATCGTTACCAAGTCCTTTGCTAAACATTTGAGTTGTAGATTAATTGTAATTTGGGCAAACGTATTCGTCTTTAATCATAGACAAAACATGCATTGTTCTTTGGCATCACCATGTTGATTTCATATACAGAAATGAATCTAAGAACACCAACTTTTGATCACAAATTAGAAAAGTAGTCTGCATTTTTAGCTACATCAAATAAACCTAATTTGTTTCATATTGTCAGACATTCCAAACTGGTTACATGGTTCACTTTCTTTACCCGATGAAAAGAAAGCTTTAATAGAGTAAAACTCAAAATAATAGGGTCCATCTATAACCACTTAAAACTAGTCAATGAACTTGTAAAATTACAACTGTTATTTCTTTTTTTTATCTCAAATTTTGCATTAATAGATCCTACAATAGTAATTCCTTAGAATATTACAGCTGTCAATTCAGCTTTCACCATTAATTTAAACCTGTAAATATTTTAATACTTACCTGATGGTTTGTGACAAATTCAGAAAAAAAATAAATGAAAAACAGTATTTCTGTAAAGTGCCTCTGAAATAGGCAAATGCTAAGCAGATTCTTTGAAAACCATTACAAGAAAGAAAAAAAATAAATAGAAATACTGTAAGCCGCCTACAAAATCTAAGAAAGTATTCAGAAATAAAGCCATCTTGGCAGTTTTATTGGCAACAACTTATTTTTAAGTGAAAACCAAATACTAGTTTGGAGATAATACTTTGTGCAAATATTTAAAATTGAGGAACTGTCCATGTGCACACACACATGCACAATTTTCTTTTTGAAAGCAAAAACTTAAAATCTAAACTCATAAGTATTTTTTTCAGGAGGAAATTTTGAATAATCATGTTATTAATTATTTGTCCTGGTGCAAAGTACAATTTGTGTTCCATTGTCAAAGTGCAGTGAACTACCAAGTTTAAGTCACACTTGAACTCATCCATTGCTGCTTCAAAATTACTGCTGACTGAGATTATATATAAATTAAACAAAACAAATCAGCTTTTACAAGGAATGACCAATGTTGAAAGTCATTGAACAGAGAGAATTCTTAATATTTCCTTAGAGAGGAGAGCAAAGGAGGAAAAAAAAAATGCCTTCAGTTCAAAATTAAGCAAGTAGAATTCATGCATCATGAAGAAATTTGAAACGTTACATGTCACAATCCATTTAGACAACCTGTAAAGGAAAAGGAAAAAAAAAAAAAAATGTTATTGTCTCCCTTGTTAGCTTCTATACCAGGATCTGTGAATATAGCAACACAACACAAATAGAAATAAATATCTATGTTTATTTTTCTTAGTTTTCTTGTATAACCAATGAGAACCAAATAAGCGGCTACTTGAAAAAAAAATTCTCGAGAAGCAGCTGAGCACTGATTGGTTGCAGCTAATGTGAAAAGGAAGGTGCCTCAAAAGAAGGCCTCTGGCTAGTCCTTTTAAGATCTCCTCTCTTAATATTGCAGTGGGTGGGGAAAGAAGGGAAACAGCACTTGATATTTTCTTTTTTTAATTCTACCCCACAATTTTTTTTTTTTTTTTCAATAAGTCCAGATGAATGTTGTTTGGTGGAATTAAGAATTATAAATCCCTGATAAAAGCAGGAGGGAGGAGGGACAGTCCCCCCACAACCTTCTTTATGCTTCTTGTCAAGTATTATAGAATATCCCTACCCACAACTAAAAGAGAAAAAAAAAAAATGTATTGTGGATATTATTTAATATTTTAAAAAAAAAAAAAAAAAGCTTAAACAAAAAAAAAAAATGAAAAACTAAATACAATGAATGACGAAGGGTGGTGTTGTCATATTTGGGAGGTAGAGAGAGGACTCCCGCCCATAAACCAGAGGAAAATGCTTGCACTCATCCCAAACAATTGTTTCCCTATCAAGAGAAAGAGATGCCATTTACACCCTGAAAATGGGATACAATTTAGGCACAGCAGAAACACATGGAATCCTAAGTAGAGTTCAGTTATGATTGAAAGTAAATACATTTACAATGGAATTAGTTTTGGCTGCACTAAATACAGAAAATGTTGAAAGTGGAAGAAGGCAGAGAATGAAGCAGTAAGAGTGAAAACATGGAAACCAAAAATAAAATTAGATTCTAGGTGAAATGTCAAAGAATTTCTCCATTTAAAAGAGCCTAACAGGAATAAATAAAAAGGTACCATAAAAATATTTTCTAAATAAGAGCACAATTTTGTTGTATTTTCTATTTCAGGTAGGTGTTTGAAGGATGAATGGCAGAATAACTACAAATAACTGAAAAAAGACAAATGAAACAATGACACAGAATCTGGAGACTTTAACTGTGCATTTACCTGCCTTCTGCATGCAGCTTGAAAAATCCTAAATGTTAAATCAAGAAAATAGGGTAGACAATATCAAATCATTATTGGAGTGGCGAGGGGACTTTGTGTGAAAGTATTTTAATATACATACAACTGAGCTCAAACACCGACAAGTGGATGTATTAAAATGATCAACTTTGAAAAGTTGAAAATTATGAGATTGATATTGGAGGAGGCTGAGGAGTTGTAGTTTCAAATTGCCTAGCAATCATTAATCATAATAATAACGGAGAGTTGGAAAGGAACACGGCATGTCAGATAAAACACAATATATACAGATTTTATCACTTTTTAAAAATGCCTACCCAATAGTTCTAAAACAAGGGAGCTACACACTTATTGGTTTCTGATCTGTCCAAAATTCTAGACTTTTTTTTTTCTTTTAAACACAAGAGGGAGAATATAAATGATAATGAGTTTTTCTTATTGTATCTTTAATAAACAGCAGCCCTTAAAATGATTCTGATTCCTTAACAACAGCAAATGTCTCATTTGCTTCTTCATATTTACACATTTTATAAATTACAATTTATTTGAGGAATGAGAGAAGAGGCAGCTGCTTAAATAACAAATCAGAAACCAATACAATTCATTTTTTCTTCTCTCTCTCTCTCACACACACAAAAAAAAAAAAGAAAAAAAAAAAACTTTAAAGAGAGTAAGAGAATAATAATAAATGAGGACCCCAGACTTTTGTTTTTGCTTTTATTCCTTTTACTAATTCATGTAACTTTCTTGAAACATATTTACATTTTGAAATAAAGTATTGTCAAGAATTGCCTCTAACTGAAGAACAAAGAGGAAGGAGGGTAGCAATGGAGTGAGTGTCAAACAGCAGTAACTATCAATAAATGGTGCTAGAGCATTACTGTTCCTAGGAGGAAATAAGACCCAAAAGTCAAAAAAAGGCAAAACTCAGTGAAAGGACAAATAAAACATGGACATATCATTGACCCGTTAGTTGCAACCTGTTGTTTGTATGTGTGTGTATCTATGTGTCTACATGTAGATATATATTCCAAAAATATATGTGTGTGTCTGTGTGTGTGTGTGTATATATATATATATATATATATTAAATACGAAGGCCACATGATTTGCAGCAGCAGCAGCAGCAAGTGTCCAAATAAATGAGATTGGATTTGGTGCCCATTTTCCTTTTAGCCAGTTTCAATTCTGTCGATGTTGGTGTAATGTCAAACAGCAGAGAAGAAAACTGAGCTGCACGGCCAGCTGACAAATTCATGACATCCTCTGTAAATGAGATTTTAAGAAGGAAGAGAAGAATCCATACACTGTTGTTGTTGTTATTGGTGGTGGTAGTGTTGTTGCTTGGTTTACTCTGTTAAATGTTCACAGAGCCAGAATTGCTTTGTCAAGAGTTAATGTTGGTTGGGTTTTGAGATTAAGAGGTGTGGCTGCTTGCCTTTGGTTGCTGCAGAGCCAGCAGCAAGAGAGGTTCAACTCCAAGGTTCAGTTAAGTGATCTGGAGACAGACCATGTTCATATCTGTCCCACATGCGCAGGTAGAGTTTCTCAAGGTGACTAGCATACAATTTTGTATTGAAAAGAGGACTGGTAGTTCTAGCTTTCCACACTTTTGCCCGGACAGATTTCAAACTGAAATAATCAAAGTTAAAAGCATGATTTATAAATAAATAATATTTTCACACACACACTATAAACTACATGTTGGTAAATCAGACATATCACTATTCATGTGAACTATAAAATTTAAATTAAAAAACATTAACAGTTATTTCAAGTCACTTTGTTGCGTGTATGAAAACTTATTGTGAAGAAAACAGTAGAATAAAGAATGAACAAGTCATGGAAAAAAGAAAGAAAAAAAAAAAAAGGATCATTCATATACAAACTGAATGAAAGCAGCAAAAGTGACAAGGTTTATAACAAATCAGACAATAAATACTTACTAATCTTGGTCAGTTCCTAAACGCACAGCTATATTTACATAATCTTCCCGAGATTTGGCAACTAACTCCGGACATCCTAATGTGTGCAGCTGTGAAGCAGCCACTCTGGAAGCAAGGGTTTCACCTACAAGACAATACAAAGCAATCAACAGAAAAACACAAAACTCAATGGTATTAGTAATAGAAAGGTACTGTTTTTAAAAAGAGAGAAAGAAAATAATTAAAAAATGTCAAGTTGATAAAATGGAAGCAAAAGTATTTCTTTTATTTGGAAGTTATTGGAACATCAAATTCACATTTACCAATATTGAAAACAACATATCATTAACATTAATTTTTTTTCTTTATTTTTAAATTATAATTACCAGGTAAAGTGACCATTGGTGTTCCTGCCCACAAAACATCCATACCAGTGGTGTGTCCATTACAAAGAGGTGTATCTAAACATATATCAGCAAGCTGACCACGGCGTACATGTTCCTCCTGAAGGATTTAAAAAAGAAAAACAAAATTCTGTCAACAACAATTATAACATCTTAATATAGTGCAAAGTTTCTGTTTTGATTGGATTTCCCAGATCTTATATGGAAATTTATTTTCAAGTGTTTTGATAAAATGATTAATTCAGATTGACTTTTCTAATCTGAACTCAGCCTATTGCTTGGAATAATGATTTGTTCAAACGTTTTATTCAAAGGCTTCTAGCTTATCTAAGAGAAAATCCAATTCATTCCTTTTAAACTAAACAATATTTTGAGGAACAAATATTCAGCCTGATAGATATGAATTACACCAAAACAACAAATGTAATTAGTTATGTCACTTATTATATAAACCAGGCTAAGATTCACATAATTTGGTCTTAACATTTCCAATTATACTATCTAACTTTGTTTTTATAGACATGTAGCAAAACATTTTTAAAACAACAACAACAACAAAAAAAAAAAAAAAAAAAAAAAAACATGTTACAGAGTAGTTCTCAGGAAAAAAAATGCCAATTAATGTTACCCCCCAAAAAAAAAAAACAGTTAAATTCCAGCAATGTAGTTTCTAGTTTATATAAAACAAAAGAAATGTTTTTAAACTAATCATGAAAGGAAAGATTATTAGAGTACAATTGTAATTATTCTCAATTTAAATAGTGATAGTGTTAAATTTCCAAACAAACAAGAAAATAACTCCTGTTTGAATCTTCAAAGAAAGATTAACTTTCAATCTGGTAATAATTTGTAATGAAGTGCAACAAAATTTGGGGTTAAAAAAGGTTATAAATTTTTAACCAGAAAAGCTATTACACAGATCGACAAAAAATAAACCTAGTCTCTGGTCATAAATTCTAGTGTCAATCCATACAGAATTTCTGTAAATAATTATTCAAGTAACAAAATAAAAAGCAACGAGACAAAGGGTTGGGGCAGGGAAAAAAATGCTTTACCTTAGGAGCAACATGAGAAAATATGATTCGTCCAGCGATAAGTCCTCGGTTCGTAGCAGCCTGAATGATGTTGGGTTCCCCAACTGCAGGAAATCGCAACAGCCAGAGGACACTGTTAGAAACATTCTTCAAGATTTCTAACCACATATCCAGTGTGGATGGGTCAATCTTATACAACTGGTTGAAGTTACAATAAACAACAGCATCTTCTGGTAAGCCATACTGGGAGCGCGCAGTCAGCATGATGTTCTCCGGTACCTCCTCACCTGTAGCAGCTTTGTTGTTGGTCTTATATATATATATATATTAAAAAAAACAACAAATAAAAAATTATGCATCATGTGAGGAGCTGAAGACCAAGCAGGAAAACAAACGACTTACATATAAAATATATTTTTCTTGTACAAGTCCAATTCAATAAAAAGAGGAAAGTAAAAGAAAACTCACTTGGTTAGAAGTTAATCCATTCTGAACAATAACTCCATTGATACATGTGGAGGCGATACCCGTCTTGATCATACTCTGCATAACTGTGGTGACAGGACTATCAATTGAATTGGATAGGTCGGTACCATTGGGTTTAGTTTCTTCATTTTCAGTCTGGAGGGGGTTTCCAATCTGTTTGCAAAGAGCAGATTACAAACAAGTAAATGGAAATTGAACCAGTTAACTATGGTTATTCAAATTTACTGAGAGAGAGAGTGGATGTTGTATGTGGAAAGTTGAGGGCTCTGCTCAATTTTTATTTTAAACAGGAAGACATATTAGAATACTAAGATTAGATTGGCAAAACAAATGGTGACTAATATGTTGCACAGAAAGTGGGTTCAAGGCATCCATAAGCCACAACAAAGTGACATTCTCTGTAGTTACTAAACTACAATTCCAGTCACCAAGAATTGTGTGTGTAACACCCCAAGCAGTTGTTGAAGAAATCTGCACACATACTATGCTCCTTTAAATATTATCAGAGTATAGAAATTATTAGCTTGTGGGAATCATTAACTAGGAAGGAACAAGCAAAGTTTTCAAAGCACCGTGTGAGAGATGTGAGTGCCAACAAAGATATTTTGAAAGGTCACGGATTCAATGTAGAGGTCAGAAGGAAATAATTCCAAGGACACACACATGCAATCACTAAACATGATGTTCTCGAGAAAGAAATACATGCTCCTTCAGAATGAGATGTGGTATTCCAGAACACAGCAAGAAAGGTCTTGATCATGGCTTTTGGGAATAAGGAAAGTATTTTAATAACTTCTCCACAAGAGACAAACAGTTACTGCAGACTACTAATATGAAACACCAGTTTCAGATTCCAAATCTTAAAAGGAGCTTGAAATGGGAAAGAAGTAATTCTAATGATTCAGTGGTTATAACAGCAGCAAAACAGCATATCAGTGCATGATACTTTCCAAGGCAATCATTGGTCTTGACTTACAGTCATTCAATTTTGTGACCCTCTTCAGGTCAATCCTGATCATGGCAGCCAATTATAATTTTGATACTCCATTCTAGGTTGTGATTATTTAAGTATGAAGAGATACCTCATCATCACAGTCAAAACATCTCCAGTCCAAATGGCAGTTTACTGAATCACAGGACAAAAGTTCTATTTCAACAGCAAGAGAAATTGCAGATTTTTATGGATTCTTCTTTGGAAAAAACAAGACAATGGCTGGTATAACCGATCATGCCTTCAGGAGTTTTCTCTCAACAACTTCAGCCCTCCTACTCTTTTAAATTATCTTTACTGCGACTGCTCACTGGAATATATGGAATTTTTTTTTTTTTTTTTTTTTTTAATAACTCCACCCTCAAGTAATTCAATCCAATTGGCTCACCTAATCACATGGGCCAAAAAGGAGATGTTTCCCTTTCTGATATCCTGGACTAATTGATCCTACTGACCAAAAATTAGCACATGACAAGAAAAGAGGAATTCCTTCTCATTACATCAACAAAACCACATATTTACACACCTGCAATAACTCCAAGATCTCATTCACCTTCCCCCCCCAAAAAAAATATTTCCTATAGATCTACCTGTCAATCTGGTCTGACCTAAAATCATCTCAACAGTTCAAATGGTTTAGTCAAAACAACACCTAAATTTTCTCAATATCTACTTTTTCTCCTGTCATGATTTTTATGTGATTCCCAAACAATCAGCCTCCATTGCACCATTCAGTATCTTATGGAATTTTTTACCCACTTCTAAACTCCCAAATTTCTATTGCCACAAATGATAATGTATATCTTTTTTCTTTTCAGAAGAAACTTGAGAAATGTGCAGAGTGAATACATAAAATAGCATATATGTTTGATGGCTTTCAATCATTCTCTTCTTAATTGGGCAAAGAACTTTTCAGTCCACCTACATATTGTAAACAAAGTATCACACGAAAAACGTTTTGAAAAAAATAATATTGAATCTTGAAAACTAATAACATTTATCTTAATGTGATGTCGGTGGTATATAATGAACCAATAAATAAAATGAAAGTAGACTTTACCTCATTCTCATCCCTCTTAATTTCTGCTGCTGATTTTAATGGCTCCAAGTTTGTGCCATTGATAATTTGAATATTGTCTGCTACATGGCCATCCTTAGTCTCAATAAATACCCTTTCAACCAAATGCTGGAACATGTGCCGATGGTCACCAATGAAAAAAGTGTTTGGCATATAAGCCAATTTCTCTGAATACTGGTCAGCTAAGTCTAATGGTGATGTCACAGCATCAGTGATGATATAATCCATAAAAGGAGCACCACTTGTTCCAGGATAGCCCAACCACATTACCTAAAATATAAAATACATAATTTGTATTACAATTAATACAAATGTGTCTATTTCTTCATAGTCATAAAACAAAATGTTAATTCATTTCATATTTAACAATGGAGGGCAGGGTGCGGGAGGGAACAGTCAAAAAGAAAAATTGATAAGATTGATAGCAAATGAAAACAACGATGAATATGGTCTTTATGAGAAATAAATAGAACATGGTTTTAACAGAAAATAAAACAAAGGATAAATTGGTATTTGAACAAACTAAATTAGAAATGCTCAACAAAATTATCTTAATGCAAATCTTGTGTGCCAATTTCCAAACTTCATTAATCTTTCTAGTTTAATTTCAAATGAAACTTTTTCAAGATTAAAAATAGATTTTGATAATGCTTCAAAAGAAAATGGTTGCCATGGCACAACATTTTATCAAATGACTGCATACATACATACATACTTTTCCTTTCTTATACAAAATTTTTGTTAATATATTTTGAGTTTTATTTTTAAAACATTTCTTTTCTGCAGTATACACAAGGGTATTCCAGAATATTTTTAACCATACTCAGAATTTTCTAAAGTCATTTCTTTAATAGCAACATCAAGTTTCAACAATTTTTGGCAATCACATTTAGCATCACAACATGCTATGAGAGAGAGAAAAAAAAAAAAAAACTAATTTATTTTTAATACTATCAACTTTTGACAGTTATTTGTATTTTTTTGTATACAGTTTTTGATAAAAAAAAAAAAAACATATTTCAAGAGTATATATGTATACTTTTTACTGGGCTACACACGAGAACATAAAGGTGTTCTCCAGCGGAGTTCGAACCTGTGCTTCCTTTTATGAGAGAAGCCAGTGTGATCTGACATACATTAGACTGCTCAGTCACAAAGAGAATCATAGACCAGCAAAATTTTATTTTCCTCTTTGAGGAATGCATGTCCCCTTGTTTAGACTTTGTCAAAAGTCTGTAACTGCTCAATTTCATATCAGAAACGTAAACAAAGCATTAATTCCTACCGAATTAATGGATTTATTTTTAATCTGATATTTTTAGTACTTCAAATAATATTTCAAGTGGATACCTATAAAATAAATTGATCTATATTAAAAATATCTGATAAAGTGACAATATGCTTATTTTTTGATCTCTTTAAACATTTTGTTTATTAGATTTGATATCTGTTTAATTACAATTTTATCAAAAATAAGTACCCAAACAATCATGATAAAAACTTATGGTATCTCAATATTTATGGGTGACATTTTGAAGAGGAAAATTAGCAACAATTGTGTTCAGAAATTATCACAAGAATTTTCACATTTTTATTATTTATTTTTTTTAAAAGAAAAAATGTGAACCATATCAAGATAAAATTTATGGACATTTTCTCTCTCTGCACTATCTTAGAATAACATGTGGAAAGAGAGAGAGAGAGAGAGAGAGAGAGAAAAAAAAAAAAAAAAAACTTTACTAACCTGGATGGGAGCAGGATGAAGAGCAAACAGTTCATTGCGAGCCCCTTTTGTATAACCATTCATATTAATGAGAATATGAATACCATCTGCATATATACGATCTGCAGCTTTGCCATTGCATGGAATCTGAAATATTTAAAAAGGGCATCTAGATTGTAATGAAGAGAAAATATTAAATACTTGGAAGAAGTAATCTTCGTGTCATGGACACAAATGACTAATGAAAATAAGCAAATTCTTCAAGATTTATATTACATGACTTTATGAAATGACTGGCAAGTTTAAAGCTTTTACTATAAACAAAATCAGGTTTCCATACAAAGAGAACAAAAAACACTGATTTTGTGAAATGTAATCAATTTAATCTCAAAGTCTGACAAAGTTATGAAGCACAAAAGATATTTCCTCAATTTATGGACAGCGTTTTATTAATATTACACTAGAGTATTTAGAATTTTCTTTTACTAGTCAACGCTGTCAGACTCAGTGTACCTTTCTCCAATTTTAAAGATAAACCAGCAATGTTCAAAAACAGAAACCCTTACTTGCGATAAATCAACAAAATGCTCAGCCTCTCGCCCAATCTTCGCACGGAACGTAGTACCATCATCAGGACTCAAAGAGTAACAAAATATCTTTAAAAAATATAAAATATTTTCATTTTAATTTTTAAAAATGCCATTTCAATCAAGAAGTTCAATCACAAAATACTTTTCAATAAAAAAGAAAAAAAAAAGAAAAAATTTTAAAATTTAGAATTTAAAATACTGAAATCTATCCAATTAGATTCCAGAGTATCATAGAATCGAACATAAAATGACATCTTAATAAGAAATTAGCATGGATGTTTAAAAGGGGGGGGGGATGTAAATTTGGCAAAAAGCATTAAATGAACTTACTTCTACTTTAGCCCGTTCATGCATTCCAGGCACACTCTGCATTAAATGTGACGTTGGATGATTTCCAAAGTCCGAACTAACATAACCAATGCGCAATCGTCCATCACTGGATAAGCTCTTGGAATGCTGGTAAGGAGGTTTGTGGAGTACATTGATCTAAAAAGCAAATCCAATTAGAAGATCATCAATACATAAACACAAATAAAATCAAGAAACAACAGTTACTAGTCAAAACAGTTTGAATCAGATCAGGATTACAAAAAGAGAAAAGAATGTAAACTTATTCAAATGGTCACAAAAAAAAAAAAAAAAAAAAAAAAAAAAATCACAAGAGACATTCACAATATATACTAGATTTATTCTGCCATTTGTTTTATAGTGTTTATACAGCTCTAAATCTACAAATATTTACAAGTTGCTAACATTCACAGCTAAAACTGACAATGGTCTGTATGTACACAAGACACAAGAAAAAAATTAAACGGTGACAGATTTTAAATTTTATATTCTTAGTGCAAAACTGTTTAAGGTTTTACAATTTAATCCCAAGTAAATCTACATGCACGCATCGAGAAATCTGTTTAAGCTTGAAGATATTAAATTCATGAAAATAGAAATATGATAGTCACTATGCACAACTAGCAGAATTGAAAATTATTTTAAAAGGTTTTCAACAGTCAAATTTATTTGCTAAAACAGCAGAATGTAAAACTCGGAAATAATCTTGCAAAGGAATTTCTTTTTAAATTAATTACTGCTGAAAGACAGTGAACATTTAAGTAATTTTTTTCACAATAAAATTGAAATTTAAACAACTTATGTTAAAAGTTTCAAGATATATTTATATGATCATAAAACACAATAGGTTTCCCCACTGGAATTGGCTTATGGCACACAAAGACAAGGTGGTTCAAGTAAACCCATTACAAACTATCAATTGTGATGTAGAGTCAGAAAACCATGTGTTGTGAGGGAAATTAGGGAATCAGTTCAAGTTCTTACTCGTCAAAGGAAAGATAATGTCCATTAGTCTGTCATGAAAGAAGACAGTAGTAGCAAAGAACTTATCTACCACATGTCACTTATATATACCTCCAGACCATGCCAGGTTAATGTGTGAATAAATAACAGATATATTGGAAATAGGATCAATGTTTTCTTTTCTTGCCATGACATTATTTCATTCGACTGTGAATGTACAACAGATCTTTCCCTATTTCTGTACACACTAATGCAAACAAGAACTAAAACAATGTAAGATAACAGGTTGTGGTTGTATGTTTACAACCAATATATCAGATAACTTGACTTATATCTATCCCTATCAAAAACATTGATAACTTGTTTGGAGGTTATTTTTATTATACAAATTAAAAGCAACAACACTTTTTTTTTCTTTTTTTTTTTTTTTAAATAAATCAAAAAGATTCACCTTTGTACAGCTTGTTTGTTTCTTCAGTGCATGTAACTTTTCGGCACTACCAAATCCAGGGATTGAGCTCACAATTGCCAGTGAACCAGATATATTCCAACACTAATCTGAGTGTCTCTTGAACTGAGAAGTATTAACTGATATGAGTTATCTCCTCTAAACATTTAAAGCAGAATGCAAACACTCTACTACAGTGTATTGAGTAAAGGGGTCAGTTTAAAATTCCCAGATGATGACCAAGTACAATAACAGACACCTGAAGAAGGTTGGAGAGTGCAATGGCTAAAACATTGCGAGTACAACCAAGTTGAAAATTACCATATTGCTACAAATAAAACATAATATTGATGGACCACATGCTTTTTTTTTTCTCTTAGATTAGCTGATAAGAATGAGAGCCATTAATTTAGTCTTTGAAACTTTTCTTTTTCTAACAAGGTGGGCAATAGTCAACTTTGAAGGAACATTGTCTTGCATGAATTGGGTCCTCTTGGTTGTAACCTGTATCACTCAAAAGTCTCATCCAAGAACTTACAAAAATTCACTGCATTTATCATGACATCAATTTTTAAGATACCAATAAGTTACTACCTACAATACTAATCGAAAACATTACTCAGCCTCCTCTCTCCTATGTCTTTGACCAATTTCAATAGAAGACCTAACCCAGCCATCAGTTCCATCCAATGTAGATGACAACCATCAATAGAGAGAAGGAAAAAAAAAAAAAAAAGAATCACTGCTTTTGGAAATCTGTTTTTATGAACTTCACCTATTTTATACATTTCTTTTGATGATTTTTACTTAGAGGTGGTAGAGTTTGGTGCCTTTTATATCTTCAAGCCAGTTTTTAATGTTTTCTTTCCATTTACAGTTCCATCTAAAATCTTTTTATTCTTTCCCCCTTTCAAAAAAATTTTTCCATTTTTTTTTTTTTTTTTACAATTATTCATCACTCAAAAACATTATACATACTATCTTATTTCTCTTTTATTAAATCCAAAATTAAAGAGAAAAAAAAAAAAAAAATCAAATAACTATATGATGATAAAAATCTACTTATAATTAACAATCCTGGAGTTGTATACTTAATATCACACCAAATAAGTTATTGCAAATATTTCTACTGAAAACATTATATGAAATACATATTTATCATATAAGTATATCCTGTAAATTTCACCAATATCAGTTGGCTAATACCAATTTTATTATTGTAAACAAAGTAGTTATAAAATCTGACAATGTAAATGAAATGTCAAAGTAATAAAATGGAGAGAAAACATGTTCAATTTCTTGGAATATGTGAGGAGAAAAAAATAATGTTACCTTTTCTAGACAGAGGTTTGCATGCTTGGAAGCAATAGCTTTTCTTACTGCATGAGAGAGGGGGTAGAGCATACTGTGATGAGGATGCACAGACGGAAGCCTGTTCTTTTCAAGCTGATCCTGTACAATCTGAACCAACCGCTTCATTCTGTTATCATAATCTGTCCAGTCACAAACAATCTGAAAGAAAGATATTCCCAAATGAACATCAACAAAATAAAAAAAGATCACCAAAAAGTGATTAATAAGAGCTATAAACTTACCTGTAAGCAATGGGCCAAGTTACAGTAGGCATCAGGAAAATCTGGTTTCAGTTTCAGAGCTGTTCTATAAGATGCAATTGCTTCAGGAATGTTGCCAGAATCCTGAGAAATCAAAATAAGATTTTTTTTTAACACCTTTTATTAAAATATATTAAATGATCATAGACCATCTTAAAATTCAGTTTTAATTGTTTTTTTTTTTAACAATTTTGAAAATTAATTCAGAGTAGAATACAAAAATAAAGCAATTTTTAAAGTTTACCCACTTACTTAAGAAAATGGTAAGATAAAATATTGGTCCAACAGTTTCAGTAAAAAATATAATGATTAAACATAGAAATTGGTCAACCCCACTTCATTTTTAGAAAACACATTCATATGAAAAATTTCTTGTTCCTTTTTAAAGAGACAAGAGTATAAAATTAAGGAATAAGTAACAAAAATTAATTGCTTTTCATTTATCTATAATTCAGATTATGACCTTTTCTGTGGGGAGGGGGAAGTTTTTATGTTCATATTTCCAGTTGCTTTTTTTTGTCTTGATTTGTTTTAATGAATTCAAATCACAAAATTCAGAAAAAAATTATTTTAATGGTGAAAAATTTCAAAGTATTTAATTTATTTTATTTTTTTTAACAGATATTCATTTTGCTGAAACATTAGAAAAAAATTACTAATTAGAACAATATTTAGCAAAAAAATAAAAACATGAGAGATTTCCTTATTTTCTAGTCAAGAGATTAAGTTTATTGTCTCTTGGTATCTAAGTAAAACTACAACTTATTTAGTGGCTGACAAATTGCCTAAAAATCTCAGAAATTTGACAAGGAAAGAATGAGAAGGAAACTTGCCTTATGGATAGATGCCAGATTACTATGAGCATCAGCAAAAGCGGGATTGATCTGAATTGCTCTTGTGTAACATTGGAGTGCCCCTTGAATATCTTGCATTTCTTTCAAAGTGTTACCCATGTTAGAGTAAGCATCAGCAAATGTAGGAGAAATTCTAAAATAGAAAAAGAACACAAATACACACAACACTTATGCTTGATTTGCCAAGAAAAGTTCAGGTTTCAAATATATAGAAATTTAACTATCCTAAAAGTCACTGTCTTATTTACCAATTGACAGGTCACATGAGTCCACACAAAGGATAGCTGCACAACATATATATATATATATATATATATTACAAAAATATATATATATATATTTAAAATGATTAGTTTGCAGTTGCTCAATAGAAGTCAAACCTTTTAGGATTAAGAACAGAAACCCCTGAACTGTAAAGGAAATCAGATTTAAATTAAAGTACTGATCTACTACTGACCAAAGAAAACATGGTGTTAAAACCAGTCTATATACTATGACTGCCAAAGCTACACTGTCACTTTACTTATTATACCACACAAATATAGTCCAGTTCTAAAATTATTGTTGCCTCTAATTTTGTTGGCACTTCAGTTTATATTGACACTGACCTTACAAATATTTTACAGTTCTAAATAAAGAATAAGAGTCCTGTTGCCTTAAAAGGCCATCAACATGCATTAAACAGATAGTGAATAATTCAATTGAAAGTAATTGATCAAAAATAGCTATCAAAAACATCTTTCTTTCCTTATTCATCATCATAACAATTAACAGAGTAAACAGACTCACCGAATCGCCTCTTTGTAATGCATCAAAGCTTCATGCAATTTGCCTTGCTGTTGTAAAACGCTAGCAAGATTTGAGTGAGCTACTGCAAATTCTGGATACACCTTTCAAATAAAAATTAAGGAAAGTTTATGATTTTCAATTGATAATACAAATTTATTTAAATGATCATAAACTTACAGATGTCCAAATGCTATCATCACTCATTTTAAGTTATTCTAACACTTACACATTACATGAAATAATTTACTAAACATTTCAAATCAAAGTAATTAAACATACTAGGCTGATATATCCATATTTTAACAAATCAAAGAACCCTCTAAAAACAAAGTTTAGATTGCTTTCAGTCAAATCAAATTTTACTATGGCATCAAGAATTAAGAAAGTCTAAAAGTTTCCAAATAAAATATTTTATATCTATTGTGAAATGAAAAAGATCAATATTATAGAATTATAAGTTCCATACAAATCAAAATAGATTTAAAGCTATCAGATACATTATTATCTATCCATTAAGATCATTAGCTTAAGATGGAAATAGATTTATTTTTTTTTTTTTACTTAATATATACACTGAAAAGTTCACCTCAACCAGGAAGCACTTAAAAAAAAAAAAAAAAAAGAAAAAAGGGAACTTGTTTGACCATTTGGACAGATTTTGGGAAGTAGATCAAGAACATTAAAATACCCCTTGTAGGATGGATAAAGATTAACAGATTTTTTGCCTAGAATCAAAATGTAAAAGGTATCATAAAAGATTAAGGACAAATAACACTATTTTGCATTTTCAAACCTTCTACTCATTTCTAATGATATACTTTGGAACTCTCCCCAGAGAGAGATAAATGTCTGCTCAATACATGCTTGCTTTTCAGGTTATTTCAGTTGATTCACTCCATATGGAAATATTTAATTCCCTATAATTTAAGTCATTCTCCAGTTTAGGTTGCTTCTTCAATTAACAAACACTTGAAGATGTCATGTCATAATTTTCCAGACAAGGACAATTGAATTTTTCTTTTGTGTGTGTGTGTGTGTGTGTGTGTGTGTATAATTTACAATGACAGATTCACCAGGTTATTGCAAAAAAACAGTATCCATCCACATTTCCACTCAATTGGAATATATCACAAAGTTAGGCTTAAAATGAAATCCTATGCATACAAGGGATTGGTAACAAAAATTGCTAAACTCCCTTGACACTTTTCTACTTAGGATGTGCCAGGCATCAGGGATGGTTTTGGAGTCTTTCCAACTTAGCAGGCACTCTCTGAGGAGATGAGGATGTGCTTCAAATCAAACTCACTACAAAGAGTTAAACAGCTTTAAAAAGAAGAAGAAAAAAAATTGATAGAAACAGAAAATCCAACTCATTTATTCAGTCTTAAACAATAAAGAACTTGTCTATATAGAAATGAAGTGGTCTTAATTTGGAAGGTGCCACAATAGTTTTAATTGCTGCCATAGTTTTCTAGGAATAATTTTCAGTCTTCATTTATAGACCCTCAAATACACGATTTTTTTTTTTTTTTAAAGATTAAATATTTTCATGGCAGAGATGCTCCTATTTACTTGATTAGAATTAAATAGAATGTTTATTTTGAAATATTACATTTCATGTGGTATAAGGCCAAAAGGGAAAGGGAGGGGAAAAAGGCAGGTCATTACTGACTATCCTAAACCTAGCTTATCTGATTCACGAGCCATTCATCCATTACGATTTACTCATTCATCACCATTCAATCCAACACATACCACAAATTCCTATTAAAACACCCATAGCATAAAAATTTCACAATATGTAAAAAATTAACTAGATTAATGATTAGAATTAAATAGAATGTGGAATAGCACTTAAAATTAAAAAAATAAAATAAAATTAAAGTCTATAAATATTTCAGCATAAACAAATATTTAAGGTTTAATTATAATTTCTAAAAATAATCGTTCAAAAGACTTACTTCCAAGGCCTTAAGATATAGACGAACAGCTTCCTCGGTGTTTCCCTGTTCACGTTTGATATTAGCCAAGTTGTTCAGCGAGTCTGCATGCGTTGGACACAATTTAAGTGCAGTGTTGTAACATTCTTCAGCTTCAGCAACCTGAAATTATATTGATGCAAAGATGGGAAAATTCAAAACGGAAAGAGGATTTGTTTGTGGGTGGGGTTCATGGGAGATAGGAGACATTAAGCTTGCAAAATACATACAATTAAACAAAAAAAAAAAAACTGGCTTGTTTTTACATCATAAATTACACTATTTTCTAATGAGGATTAAGCAAACCAAAAGTTTAAGGGAAAAATTAGTGTGATCAAGAGTATAAAAAAAAAAAAAAAAAAAAAAAAATTACATTCTATTGAAGTTATGTATTATAAACAACACATTGTAATGGTAGGGGAAATTCCAGGTTTCTTTTTGTATTTCAAAATGAATTTATATTGTGAGTATTCTCAGACAAAGGCAAGATTGACTCTCATGACCAAAAATCCAATTAAATTGCATAAAAAGTTAATTCAATTCTCATTAACTTTATTCAAGAGGACTAAAAGTTCCTGGCCCAGCCCACTTCTCAAAATCTGACCAAATATCAGAAATTTTTTAGCATCTTCTTGGTCAGGACAAAAAAATTTTAGCACCTCCCCTTGTAGCACTTGAAAGAATTAGAGAATATTGTATATCCCAGGAAGAATTGAAACAAACACATACACTAAGCCCCATTGAGAAAATAAAGATTCTGAAAGAGAAACAATTCTCTTTCCACTCTTTCTAAGCCACATTCCAAGACAGAAGGATAATCCATTGATCTATTATGATATTGGTAGACACAAAATTCTGTAAGACTAACAATTTCAGTTGACTTACCACCCCATGTGTTGATGCTAGAAATAATTTACTATGAAATACAGCAGTTTTATTGTTTTCAAAGAAATCCCAAGAACACATCAATTTTTTTTCATGTGTGATCAACACTTAATAGAATTCAACTTGGACATTTCAACTGAATACTTCATTTAATAGAGAAGAAGGAAATAATACAGGATGATTTTACCTTGATTTCTAAATCAAAGACACTGACTTAAATAATATCACAACTGCTTCTAACCAAGGAGACATTTTTAATTAAGAACAACCTAATAGTAAGTGGCAGGAATGATAGGCCCATACTACAGCTTGTGGAATCTTAAAAGGCCATTTGACTGAAAATAAATTTCATCCATTCAAAGAAAATAATTTCCTGGAAAATTAAAACTAATTAGTTTTAATTCTCCAGGAAATTATTTTCTTTAATAATTAATTATACTTAGTTTTTTATATATATGTATAAAAAAAAAAAAAAAAAAAAGCAATCTAATTAAAAAAAAATATCATGTATTATACATTTGAACATTTGTTCATATCATAACTAATTTATTTTTTGACTGGTTTTTGTGGCAAGGGATATCTCATATCTGAACAATCATACTATGGTTGGAGGAAAATACTGGCTTTGTACAATTTAGGTAGATTATTTGTAAAAAGATCTTCATAGATAATAGACAAATGTTATTGCTTCTTTTAACCAAAATAAACAAAACTATTTGATTCTGATAGTAGTAACACTAATCTGTCAAAACTTTTTGCATTTATCATGCAACAAGCTTACATATTGTTTTCAGTTAATGAAATAGCAAAATCAAAGACTACTTGTTTGTTTGTTTGTGTGTGTGTGTGTGTGTGTGTGTGTGTGTGTGTATGGACAAAAATAAAAAGGTTCAGTGTTGTGTAAACAATTGAGAATACTATCTTTATTTTTTGTACCCCCACCCCCTCATAAAATGCCTACTATTAATAATTAACTATATCATAAAACTAAGAGCATGTCATTAGGCAAAAATTACAATATTTCAATTAAATAGCTAAAGCAACATTTGCTACAAAACTGTTAGCATGCCTAAAATATATGCTGGTGGTTGTCAGTGCTCACATGAAAATCTAAACAATCACACAAGTTGGTATAGCTGAAGAAAAAAAAGATTCATAAAACTCATTACTATACAAGAGCTTTGAATGAAACTTTCATATTATATATCTATATAATAAATGCAAATGTCTGTGTGTCATACTTTTTCAACTTTACTCCTAAAATAGCAAAATAAAAACATTCCAGGCCGAATCCAGATCCACAATCCTGAAATTTTGGATTTCCAACTTTTTATTATTGCGATTGTTTTCAGTGATTTTTTTGCAAAAATTTTTTTTATGATAATATTTATAATTTGGAAATAAATCTGGGAATAATCAAATTGCGAAATCCAACAAAAATCGCCCATGAAATAAAAAGAACTGTTTGAACATAAAATAAGGATCTGCATACATCAAATTGTCTTTAAATTAAGTGGTGGCAAAAAGAAATTAATCATTGATCTTTTAAAAGGTAAGTATAAATATTAATGCAATGCTTAAATGCAGCCATCAATTTAGGAGTTCTTTGTAGTTTATTGTTGTCTATCACATGTACTACTCCCTACCTATTATGGTGAATGCTCACAATCAGGAGCTAGCTTAAATAGCACCTGATAGAGCAGCTTTTGTGTGTGTGTGTGTGTGTGTGTGTGTGTGTGTATATATATATATATATATCTATCTCACACATTGAGTGCTGGTTTTAATAAAATAGTGCTTGATGTAATATAACAGAGCTTATGTAATGGGCAGTCTCAATTCATTACCTGAAGATTGTGTTGTGTATGAAACTGAGTCATACTACCAGTGAGGAAAAAAAAAAAAAAAGTTTTTTTGAGTCAGCAAAATTGAACATTTTTTTTCCATTTTATAAAAAAACTGGAAATCTCACTTTGAAATTCTTTTAAATATCAATTATCATTTTTTCAAAACTTATTTTAAGAAAATCAGAAATTATAATGTTTAAAATATTTTGAACCAAGCTTAACTTTGCTTCTGCACCGAAAAGATGTAATGTGAAAATAAAACAAAGCCGGTCATAAACTTTCGCATCACTTGACAGGTGATGAATGACATATTGACGGATTCCGTGAGGATAATTTGTTCTACGGAAGGAGAAAAGTGAAATAATTTACATTTAAGTGAACAAATTATTTACCTCGTTATTTTTAAGGAAAACTTTCAGCACTCTGATTTTTTTTTTGTACTTATTTGTATATGCTTTATGGAAAATATGCTATAAAGAAATTAAAATAAGACTGTTAAGAGAGATTAAAATTTCATATTTCATACGAAATTAATTAATTTATAGGTACCTTTCTTATGAAATTTTATCAGAAGTGTACATAAAATACTATAATTTTATGTACATTTATTACATTTTACTGTGTTATTTGTATTTCCATTCATTTTATTATTAATTTTGATATTTCATTTATGGAAAAATGTCATAACTGAGATTAATATAAAAATAAGATCATATAAATTTCATAAGATGATACTGATACTTGTAGGTACCTTTCTCAGTTGAAATTGAAAAATCAAATTAACTTCTCCACACGTGTTTCGCAAAAGTAAAGGCCTCAACAGTGGAGAACAATGCTTAACTCAAATAACGCAACTCAATTGTATTCTTCCGTACTTTATAATTACAGCCCGATTATAAACACAAAATTACATTTCTTAATTACTGCGGGTCTTCTGATTAGTCAAAACAATACAAATTACAATGCACTAAAAAAAAGATCTATCTCATAAGGAGACTTAGGAAACCCGATGCGGCTTTTAACTAATTTTATAATATTTTAACAACTTAAATGTAAAAATCTATTATAATTAAGAAATAACAAATAATGGTATTAAAAATTCATTTTTCATCGAAAAAACTTTGCTTTCAGAAAATATTGTCCAAATTAATGTTATAAATTTTTTTTTATTAAAAAAAGGCTATAATTTGCAAGCAAATAAAAGCATTTGAAATTAAATAATATCTTTGTTTTATTGAGTTTTGTATGTTACATTTCAGAGCTGATTTTCAGGTAAGGGGGAGGAGTCCAATTAAAGAAAAGAAAAAAAAAAAGAAACATGATTTGCATTCCTCAAAGCCTTATGCTTTTAACTATTGTAATCACTAAACCCAATGCAATTGAATTTCATAAAATTAGTTATGGGGAGGGGTGTAATAAATATAAAAAATAATATTTCTGCCATGACTTTAATAAAAAAAAAAAACAAAACAAAAAAAAAAAAAAACATATTTATAATTATTTCTATCATCTGTGAATAGTTCCTGAAAGTTTCATTAATCGAGAATTATTTTTTTTATTTTTGCAAGATTTTTCAAATTAATGTGTGTCATAAAAAAAAAAAAAAAAAAAAAAAAGTTGTCTGTTATTTTACTAGTTCTGGTGATACAAAGAGAAAGAAGGTTTTTTTTTTTTTTTTTTTAATCAAAATTTAGAATGTTCTAAAAAGGAAAAATTCTAAAAAATAATTAAAAAAAAACTTTGGTCTTTCCTCTTAATAATAAGCATTTAGACAATAAAATTTTGTTTTCGGCAAGGATGGCGTCCTTTTCATCAAGCTATGCTCTTTTTTTAGCGATTTCATGATATTTATGAATTAATTTCTAAAAACATATTTACAATTTTGACAAGCAGAAATTAATGTTATAAATTTTTTTTTATTAAAAAAGGCTATAATTTGCAAGCAAATCAATTAGAACTAATTAAAAAGCAACCAAAATTTCAGATAAGGTTTAAATTCTAACATAAAAGGTAAAATTTCACATTTTCTAATTGATTAAAAAATAAAGCAAATACTGCTAAATTATTTTTTTTATATAAACTCCTACCTGAATTAAAGATATAAAGCAACATTTCTTAAACTGTTAAGATTCCTTTCTTTAGGGAGGAAAAAAAAAATCAGCAATGAAATATTTTGCAGGGGGAAGAGGGTAATTTTTCTGCTGAGACAAGTAATTCTGTTCTGAAAAAACTTTTAATATAGAAAAAATGAAATACACCCAACTAGATATTCCTCAGCTCAAGAGCTGATACTTGCATGCCAGCCATTTCTTCTTTTATAAAACTGCAACAATGACAAGCAAATGCTTAAGAGTTAGTTGTTCATCATCAACAGTAAAAAGAGGGGGAGGGGGCAGGGTGAAAGAGTTAAGATGGTCAGTTATTAAGTGGATTATTAGTCAGTCACTTCAGAATTGTTCTTGCTCTTTTTCTGGCTATTTATTTAAACTTTGTTATTTCTTTCCAAATAAAAATGGTACCAAAAGGTACGATTGAAAAAAAATAAATAAATAAATAAATAAAAAATAAAAAAAAAAAAAAAAAAAAAAAATAAAAAATGAAAAAATATAAATTCAAATGAAACCAATATTTTGAAAAATGTTTTTCTTGAAAGCCAGGCATACCGTCAACATCAATCTCAATTGATCGTTGACAATAGCCTGACCAAATGTGAACAGAGCACAAACAATAGAAGTGAAACGTGCAACTTTTGAGAAACTCTAACCTTGCGTACTTTACCCTTCTCCTTCAGTGCATTGGCCAGGTTGCAGTAAGCATCTGGGAAGTTAGGTTGCAATTCAATTGCTCGCTTGTATGTATCAATGGCCAAGTCAATTAAACTACAAGAGAAGAAAACAAGGAAAAAAAAAAAAAAAAAAAAAAAAAAAAAAAAAAAAAGAAAGACAGACCAGACATTGAGGGAATATCAATAATTACAACACAAATTACAAAAATAAATGGAAACAAGTTATTCTGAAGAATTAAAATTTTAAATGAAATCCCAAATTTTTTAATTTTAGAAAGCAATATACACATTTCACATTATTAGACAATTTACACACAAATATTTGTCACTCTTAATATGCAGGACATCTTTCTCTCTCACCCATACACAAACACAAAGTATATCAAAAATACTTTTACAAACTTTGGGGACAGGTTCTTCACACCAAAACAAGGACAAAAGTCCATATAAATATATGTCTGCAAATCCTTCATTTTTTTGAGTTGAGTTTAAAAGAAAGTTTACAGTAGATGGTGTTGTGTTGCCATATAAACTAGGTTACATTTGTCATTTATGTACATCTATGGTTAGTCTGTCTTCAACATTTATCGTGTGTAGTAGTTAGTTAACCGAGAAGTGTTCTGTTTAACAATGGCAGGATATTCATATCGTGAGCAGGCAGATATGATTTTTACATACAGTCACGCAAATGGTAATGGATGCAGGGCAGCACAGCCCCATCAGAATGTGTTTCCAGACCAAAGACAGCCAAATCATACAACCATTGTTGCTGTTTATAGTCAAATTGCTATAGGTCAAGGAAGACCGAGATCCACTAATACACACCTAACCACAAAGAACACATTTTACAGGCTGTCACAGACAATACAGGTATCAGCACACACCAAGTGGCTCTAGCATGTTATAGACCTCATAGTACTGCATGGAGGGTAATTCAAGAGCGGCTCCAGTGTTTGTATAATTTGCAATGTGTGCCGGGTCTTTCGCCCTCTGATCACTCATCATGGGAGAACCTTTGATGATGGTTTATTGCACAAACTGCTGAGCCATTGTTTGTCTCTTCAGTCTTCTTACAAATGAAGCAACATTTGGAAGAGATGAAATAACAAATTTACAAAACCAACATTTGTGGACGAATCAGAATCCCCATGGTACAATACAGGCTAGACACCAGCATCAGTTTACAATTAATGTATGGGCTGGAATTGTAGGTGACTGTCTGGTATGTTCATACGCTCTCCCAGCATGTCTTACAGAAGACGTCTACAGGGACTTTATTTTGAATACACTTCCAGCCCTGCTAGAGGATGTACCTCTGATAATACAAAGATGCATGTAGTTCATGCATGATGGGGCTCCAGCACATTTGAGTGGCTGACCTACCATGAGAGATGGATAGGTAGGGGAGGACTGGTTCTATAGCCTGCACATTCCCCCAACCTCCTCAATCCTTTGTTTTTTTTTTGTTTGTGTGTGTGTGTGTGGGGGGGGGGGAGTTGAATGTCACCTAAAACAATTGGTTTATGCAGCAGAAACTAATAATGCTGCAATGCTTCACCAACATGAGGGTCTGCAAAACCCCCTGACACCAAATTACTTTTTTTCTTTTCAGATTTATGAATAAATGAGCTGGTATGAAAAATGTCTGGACCACTGGAAGTTCATCAAAATCAAAGAGCAGTAACTGAGTTTTTTGTTGCCAAAGGAGAAACTCTTATGAACATTCACACAAGATTAAAAAATATAGAAAGATAAAGCCTTAGACTACAGCAATGTGTGGAGATGAGCATTTTGTCTGAATGAGAATTCAACAGACCAAGAAGAATTTGGAAATATATCAAGTTTAACAGGCATGCCTCATAGTGGCTGCCCATCAATTGTCACAATCTCAGAATTTACTATGGAATGCTTACAACATTATTGAGTTACTTGGATATTCAAGTGTGCCCCTACCATCATTAATCGAATGGAACACTACCATTGAAAAAGATGGTGATTATGTTGACAAGTAAGAATGAGAACCTGTGATGTATAGCTACATCTTGATGTACAATATGTTTGACTATTCCTTATTTCTTCTAGAAGAATACAAATTGCATTACTTTTTGACTCGCCCTCATACAAGTGTGATAAAACATTGTCATTCTAGAAAATCCATCTTTCTGAGAATCTTTATATATAAATCATCCATACTATGCTTGAACTGTGTTCTTCAATACTTGGTACTCACCATAAGCCCACAACTTATAATCTCACCCTGAAAACATGACACCACCTCTGCCAGTAGTTACCTAGTTTCTGCAATGGCCATTTGGTCTACTAAGAGTAGCATGATATTCATCAGTTAATAAAAAATAAGAAAGGTTCAGGGAGATCAATCAATTTGCTTATAGAAATCTTAAAAGGAGGCCAAAAAATTGGTCTTCCATGTTTTGACACTCAAACATCTTGTGCTTTTTGGTACTACCAAAATGCCTAAATATTTCATTGTTTGAGAATGACCGATGTCTCATTTCATACAGGTTCTCAAATTGCCCTTATCAGAGTCTCTTCAAAGTCAACTAGGATATTCAATAAACTTCACAGTTCAGTTGTACCTGCTGAACAATTTTCAGCATTGTTTTACATTTTACAGGCTGCAAGATCATTAAACATTTATCAACCCATCAAATTGATTTTTAAAAGCTGCAAACTTGCAATGTGGCTACTAATTTGAGATATTAAAATTAAACATTTCATTTGCTTATACTGCAAGGCTGAACTGGCTTTCCTCCTATGCAGATAGATGTTGCAATCTTTCAGTAAACAGGCATTCTGAAGCATTTATTTTAAATATCAATAAAAAATGAAGTGGCTAATGTGAAATGCAGCATAAATTTCAAAAATGCTTAAATTCTTTCTAAATTTAACAAAATGTTAACACTAAAAAAACTAATTTCTTTTCAAACAGTATCTTTCTTAAATTTGGAAAGATTTCCCCTAAATCTTAGTGGAACAATTACTGAAAAATTATAATTATTCACACAGTATATTCTTTGCATTAACAAGACTTATTTTCAAATGATAGAGAAATATAAAGAAACAGTTTCTTTGTCAACAATGATTTTTTTTTTCACTTAGCAATGCTTCATGCACCAAAATACAAACTCAAGTTATGTTCTTCCCTTTACTCCATTCTGTGACTAACTTGTCTGTTGAGATACATAACACAAATGACTCTTACATTTTCAGTGTTAAAGGTGGCTAAGCAAAGTGAAAAACTACTTACCCTTGTTCATAATAAACACAGGCCAGATTGCCATGTACCACTGCATGGTTGGGACTGAGATTTAGGGCTCTAAGATAGGCAGCTACAGCCCTACAAAGAAAGAAAAAAAAATCTAAATACTGACGAAGCCATCAAAATACAAATATGCTGTCATTTACTAGTGCATACACAAATAAAAACCCTTGACATTGATGAGACCTTTGAAATCAATTTGATATTCTATAACTGTTTTAGCCCTATTTCCAGTAAACATTATCAGGTCTGTTGCCCAACTCGGAAGAAAGCTACAAAGGGGACAGTCAAGTCTTTCCTACTATAGTTTCTTTTTTTTTTTTTTTATACACATTATTATATAAAACAAATAATTTACATAATTAACATGAATGCAAAGTTTTTGCTTTAAGTAAATTGACATCAATTGTCAAGTTGCAGCAGACAGTATTTAATGTGAAGAGAGAGGTAGTTATTTTAAAAAACTAAGAATACATTCTATCCTTTACAGAAAAAAAACAATAATGGTGCCATAATCAACATAATACTTTACTACAAACAATAACCCTTTTATAAAACTCAGACCAAAATTGCAAAATTTATTCTTACCAGTATTCCTTGTAGAACTGCATAACATTTATACAGATCAACTCCTGAGAATGGGAAATGTTATATAATTACATGTTAAAAGATGAGTGAATAAACTTTGTAATCGTTGATCATATCAAAATATTACTTACCTATCAAAGATTCGTGCTTCTTTTAATACATTTCCTAAATTGATATAGGCATCAAGGAAATTTGGGTCAAGTGCCACAGCCTTATAAAAAAAAAAAAAAGTTAAAAATCACAAAATCTAAAGTTTTATAATTTCTAAAATTTATATATTTTCTAAGTATTTTCATTTTAATCACATTCATGATAATCAAATATAAAGTAGAAATAATAGCTTCCAATATTCTAAAATTGCAAGGTATTACAAGGTTAAAATTCATTACACGAATCATTTATAATGAAAAAAAGTTTCTCATATCTGCATTAAAACTATATTTGAAGAATAAATTTTTCTTTTTTTTAGTTAACTTACTCAAAAAGATCTTGCCTAATTAATTGCTTTTGTGGTAGAGACCAATAGAATATTTTGACAAGTAACAACTTGCTCTAAAAAAATATAAAGGCTTCACAATTAAAACTTGTATTATGCATAGATTCAGCTTTACATGACAAAGCGGCATAAACATAATAAATGTCAGGTCATCCTTTAAGTAATGTCCAAATTTAAGGTCAGAAAAAATATAATCAAAACCAATGCTTAATTAGAATTTATTCATTCACAGTGATTCCATAATTAATGCTAACTTTCTTCCAAAGATTTACTCTCTTTGTTTGAAAGAAAATTAAGTTAGTCGCTAGCCAAAGAAATCATCTTTAAGTTCTCTAAACTGCAGATGAAGTTTCTTTCAGTCTTTCTCCCAAACTAAGGTTTTCAAGCTTTTCAGATGGAATCTTTGTTGGGATATAGAGTAATATGCAGTATGATAATTAATGGAGTTTACAGTTAATTAAACTGGGTTTTACTTTTTTCTATCAAAGCAGACAAAGTTATGCATTTACCACCAGAACATCACCAAAGTGGACCATACTAAGTTTATTTAACAATTATCAGTATTACTTTACATTCTTGTCACTAATCTGTCAAAAAAATGTCAAGCTTGAAAGCACACGTCTATTGGTGCTTTACAGTTGAATTCTGTCAAATCAGGGAAATCCATTTTCTAAGTTGTTGCACATGACAGTAAATTGTTAAACGATTTGAATTAAGTTTCTGCAACCATTAACGCCTCTATCGATTTCAGCCAGGATATCATCTGTTCATAGAACATCTACTTTGCTAATCCTTTTGAAAACCAAATTCAGCAGTTTCATTCATATTAAGAGTCTCTTTTCAAGTTATTTCTGCACTATTGCCTTTTCTAAACTCAAAATACATGTCTTATGTACTCCACAAACATGCCCATCTTTGGGATGATGAAGTTAGTAACTAAGTTAAAACATACTGTAACAAAGTAACTTGTTTATAACTATGAAAACATATACTGAATATCATTTAGGCATTTGAGAACAAAAATATCATCAACTATTGCCACATGATTTTGAACATTACTTGTTATCAAGGGTGTCTCAAAGAGAAACTAAATATTGCGAAAATTGTGATTAAAATTCACAGAACTTGAAAATAGTTATTGCTTACAGCAATTTAACTTAACAAAATTAGATTAAAAATATCAATTGAAAGAGAATTAAGATTTTATCCATAAAATCAGGAGTTAAAATATTGCTTCAGAAAACATCAAATAGTTTATTTTTGACATTTGAATGACTAAACTATTGGAAAATTCAGAGAAATTTGTATAATTTGTAAAATATACAAAGGAATGATTCTGCTCTTTAATAGTTTTCTGCTTTTTCAATCATTATGCGTTTTCTATTAGATTTTTTCCTGTATGCAAAAGTCCATAGATACTCACCTTTTGCAAATATTGCTGCCAGTATACATTTGGTCTAATTTTACTATCATTATCATGTAATAAAGTGAAGGCAATATACAAATGACAAATACCTATTTGAAATTTTTTTCTTCTTTTTTTAAAAAAGGCAAGATCTTTTGTTTCACTTGAATTAATTTTATCATCTTTATCTTGTCCTCATTTTCAACAAGACAAATATCTATGCTGTATATGCGAGAGAAATTTAATGACAATTATTTAATGGCTGGCTGCTCATTTCCAAGTGTGCACATCTGGGAGCCAGCTCGTCCCTGTTGCAGATGTCAAAACATACGTGTTTCAACACTCACAGACCCAACCTGCTGTTTATACTGCAACTATACTGAGCGGGCATTAGATACAGCTTCTGGAAGAAAAGCACAATCTGTCATGATCAATAGTTGAACAAGGCTAATAATACACCTAAACCTTCAGTCAAGAGAACTTCTGATTTCATCCTATCACAACTATCGACAGCTTTCAGTTTTGTCTACCCAATTTCACTCACAAGGATTTGGGTCAACCCATGGTATACTTTTCAGGCACACTGAGATTAGTAACCCTCATACCACTATTATAAAGAATTAACCACCCTGAAAATAAAACGTGATGAGATTTGAACTCTGGTCTCATGGTCAGAATGCCAATGATCTAACCACTCAACTAGGTATCCATCCTGGCAATATTGAGGGAAGATTATAAGAAATTAAAGAGACTATCAGTGACACAGCAGACATACTTCATATACTCAGTCTATACAAATCAATATGTAGAGTAGAATGTTTTTGTATATTAATCTAAACAAAAGAATAACAAAGCTAGAAATAAAGATAATAGACGAGATGTTTTGCATCAGTAATTTAAAAGATTCTAACTTTAACTCAAAAGTTAAATAGTAATACTGAAACAGGAGAATTTCAAACTTTAAATAATCCTAAAGAAAAAGAAAAATTTATATATATATATATATATATATATATATACACACACACACACACAAAACTGAATGATTTACATTATGTCACAAACTATTTCAAATAAATGTAATTGTTTTGGAGGATGGCTACATTACAAAGTTGTGATTTGGCGAGCATTAGTAAAATAACACTCAACCTATAGTTCATATTTGATCACATTTTAGAAATGAATCAAAATGCTATTTTTCTTTCTATATAAAATCTATGAAAGAAAGTTTTCATATCCATGAGAAATGATCTTTGATTTTAGCTTTCTTTCAAGAGAGACAATGAAATAGCAAGGAAAAAAATAAAAATGCTCAGTATGGCCTGAGGAAGTTACCAGTGAATTGGTGCATCAACAACTAATACAAGAAATTTATTTTCACAGATCACAATGAATTAAACATAAAACATAACATTCTGATTTTCCACACCTTTTTTTTTTTTTTTTTTTTTTTTTTTTTAACTATTTTCAAATACAAGAACATGGTTCTTTTTGTATTGCAATTTAATAGAGAAGACTGATGATTGGAAAAAAAAAAGTGTTTAATTCACTCAAGGTCAATGAGGTGAGATAAATAAAGCAGTTTTTCCAGTTATTGGCCAACATGTTCAAAAACTAAGAAGTCATTGCAAGTGAGAAATTAAACTTTTCCATCATAAAAGAAACAAAGGAATCAGGGGGTGAAGAAGGAAACTTGCTAAACTACTTTTTCTTTTAAATCAATAGACAAATGTCACATTCTAAATTACTTTGCAGTCAAAATATGTTTTAAGCTTTCACCACACACACACAAAAAAAAAAAAAACTTCAATTATACCTGAAGTCAGGAATACATATACAACAGCTATATCTGAACATTCAGCGTGATAAAAGGATGTATTTAGATTGCTTTGTCTTCATTTACTTGAAAAAACTTGGCCTCTAATTATCAAGTATTATTTGCTTTTAGAACCAAAACTGTAAATAAAGCTGACTTGTTGCTATTTAGAGAGATAGTAATCAAATCCTGAACATTCAGATTCAAAATTAATTTGGGACATTTTTTTCATTTTCATACTTACTAAAGGATTTCTTTATCTACTTCAGAAAACTAAAAATATTTGTCTGAAAATCAACTTAATTATTCTATTTGCATATTTTCTTCAAATATTTCAAGAAATTTCCCGAAAGGCAAATATTTCCTACAATTTCAGATATGAAAACTGTACTGACCTTATCAAAATGATGAATAGCTAACCAGATTTCTCCTTGGGCATTGAAAACACAGCCCAGATTACTCCAGGCCACTGCAAAATTTGGTTGTGTCTCAATAGCTTTCAGGTAGCAAGCCTAAAGTGTAGCAAAGAAAATGTTAAGATCTTGCCAAGACCATCTAGTATTAATATCATAATAGTAATAGAAGAAATAGCAGCAAAAAGCAACATAGTATATAAAAAAAAAAAAGAAAAAGAAAAAAAGACAAAAAGTCAAAGCGCAAGAACGCCAGCGTCTTAATCGGAGAAAACGCGCATATTACTAAAACGCGTGCCAAGTTCACTTGTTAAGCACAGATCATGCCTGTAGGCTTTTAGAATCAGGCTTTCTCTGCGAACCTAGCTTTTGCATAAAGGTGTCAAAAATTGAAAAGTAAGAAAAGGAAAGGAGTTGCCAACATTTAGTTGTTCATTGTTTTAATAATGAAAAATCAATTACTTTTAAAACAAAGTTTCCCAAATTTTTCACAAAGATGGAATAGTCATTTTATATCTTGAAATTTGGATTGAGAATATTCAAGAAATGCAACCTGCATATCAATTTATGTAGGAAAATAATTTCAAATTTTCTTTGATTATAAACTGAAATTAATAAATGGTGAGAAATAAGCCAAGACTTGTTTTTCCTTTAAGTTTTTGTTTCATTCTGGCATAAAAGGCTGCAAAAGAAACTATGGTTCTACAAACCAGACATTAGTGATGACCTGTACTGATAACATAGTGAATAAACAAAACAAAAACAGAAATGCCATTTTCCTTCTTCTCTCAGTCAAAGGGATGGAAAAGCTGTCTGCATGGTGAAATAAAAAGTTAGCTTTCACTTCTCTTCTTTCAGCAAGTTGTATTATCTCATGGGGGACTCTCAGGTCATAAGTTTTAAATAGCAAATTTGAGAAGAGGGACATAATTAAAAGAGATTTTGAAATAATTAGAGAAATGTCAGAATAAAGAAGCAGAATCATTCTGGTGCTTTTATTTCAACATCTATAAAAATCAGCTGATAATACTCATGAAAACAAGCAAATGATTTGATTTATTTAACTAGAAAGAATAAATTGTTTTAATGTAGGTAAAAAACATATTGGATAAATTGAGGTTTAAAAAGAATGATGGTTTAAACTAATTACAAGTGCAGTTCTTCACAAATATGCAGACAAGGATTGCATGTCAACAGTGAAATAAAGAACCAAAAGTGACTGGGGTATTTCCTGGCATAATAATCTTTATATAAAGAGTGACAAGCACATATACTGACTAATATGAAAGCAACAATATCAGATCCTATTTCTTGATTCTATTAAGCCAGGTTTCAAGTCTGAAACCAGGTTTAGTTGATTAAATTTTGCTGACTTCCAATAAATTACTAATACATTCTGAGTAGTAAAATACCAACAAAGTTACACTATGAATTAAACAACAGATCAATAATAATTAACATGTTTTTTTTTGTTTTGTTTCATTTTACCCAAACACAATCTAAGGTAATACAACTGGAAAGTTTTGAAACCTGGTATGTATGTGGAAAGATATAAATATAATATGCACGTGCACACACACTTTTTTATATATACATACGCGCATACCTGTACACACACACAGTGTCCGTAAAGTCTGGACACACAGTAAATCTCATTAACTATATTTTTGTATCTCCACAGATTAAACATGGTTTTGCCAAAACAAAGAATCGACTTCTTTTTCTGGAGTATGCTAATAGACGTACTCAATGGAAATCACAGACGCAACACACTTGATTGTACGCATAAAGAGTGAATGTGCTAAGACACCAATACAGAGTTATTGCATAGAGTTCACAAGAATCTTGCACAACAGATCAGACTGCATTACAAATGATGGAAATCATATTAAAGATGTTATTTGCTAATATTTCAATTCAATAAAATGTTGTTAAAAATTTCATTCCTTAAAAACATGTATTTTTGCCTATGTATCCAGACTTTAGTGATACCCTTTAGATATATAACATAAAATCTCAGAGTACAAATATTGAGGGGGTGGGGACTTACAGCAGCCAAAATGTCATTGTAATTTTTTTTTGTTTTTGAGTGGCTCAAATATTTCTCTATAATCAAATCATTTCTCATTAACGCTTTCAAAACGAAAATAAATTCCAACATATCAAGTTAGAGATCCTGACAATCATCAAGAAGTTTCTTTGAAACTGGTTACAGCAATGAAATAAAATTTGAGGAGGGGGAAAGGAAAGAAAGGGCTTCAAAATCAAAGACTCTTAGTTCCCCATGTAAAAATAAGACAACTTTTATTTAGTAGGAAGAAAGGTGAAGAAATATGGCATTTATAAAAAAATCGCCTGCGACCGCGAGCGTCCGCGCTGTGCACTGCGCGCTGGGGGAATAAAAAAGAAATGACAATAGTAAAAACATACAAAAAATAATACTGATGGAAATATAATGAAGAATCAATGAAAATAAAAATAAAAGATCTTACAAAATTAGGGGAAAAAAAAAAAAAAAAAAAAAAAAAAAAATCACGACTGAAGAAAAAAACAATTATTCTGAAAAATTAGCAATAATTTTAGAGCAATTAGTGATGTTATGAAGAAATGACTTTATTAAAAAAAAAAAAAATTATTAAAAAAGCATGTATGAAAAAACCTTTTTATGATCACCATTAATTTTTTTTTTTTGCTTTTGTTTTGTTTGTATTTTTAATGATATAATTAATTATTGTTGCTGGTTTGTCTTTTTTTGTTTTTTCTTGTATTTTAGGGCATATCAATTTCCTTTCAGCTGCAGTATAATGGCATGTGGCAAAGCTGTCATCTGAGATAAGAGGACTGATATTCACAACTAAAGGATAACAAGCAATAACTAAATAGAAACCAAATACTCAATGATTACATACAGATCCAAAATAAAAAAACATTTAAGTTATTCAACAATTTATGACATTAAGACAACACACTTTTATGAGTTATAATCATGTTCAAGATATTAATAACAAAGAGCCTTTAAATAGGCTTAATGTTTTAGAAAAAGAAAAAAAAAAAAGAGTATCAATTGCAATTATTCTGCACACTGCTTTTAATTTGAATATGCAGTTTAAATGTAGCAGAAATTAATGAGATGTTGTTGATAATCAATAGATCAATTAAATCCAGTCAAAAGTTAACAATGACTTGATTTCATTTTTATTATTATTCTTTGCAATTACTAAAAATGTTGACTTACAGCATAAGTTTTAATGCTTTCCTCATAATTACAGAATGAGGAATCAAAAACAACATATGAATTGAGGAAGAAGAAGAAAAAAAAAAAAAAAAAAAAAAATCAAAGATTTCTTTTTTATAAGATAGGAAAAAAGCCAAAAATATCAGAAATGAAAAGGCTAATGATTAAATACCTATAAAAAAAAAAAAAAAAGTTCAAATTTTAACCCAAGTAAATCAATAGGAAAAAATAAAAACCAAAATGTAAAGCGAGAAAATAAATATCAAACATTTGGTGTAAATGTTAAATTAAACTGATGTAAATTTCATTTCCAACGAGGTTTACTTTTGAAGTCACACATCAAAGACTCTTAAAAAAATAAAAATTGTAAAAATATTCTAGTCTTTTCATAAACTCTTTTCCATTTTCAAAAAGGGATTTTTTTCTAAAATCAAGTGAAATTTGCCCTCAATAAGTACCAATGAAAAAAAAAAAAAAAAAAAATACTTTAAACGTCCGAGTAAATATTGAGACTTAAAAAATAAAAGCAGAAAAGTTTGCTTGAATCCTAGATTTTAGAAAAAAAGTACTTTATTTTCTAGTCCTAGTGATCAGAGTCAGAAGAATTTTATATGTGAAGGAAACCAGCGTAAAAAAAATTTTCAGATGAAAGATTCTTTTTTTTTTTTTTTTTTTTTAATTGCTGTAAGAATAAAAGACCAGACATGCAGCTAAAATTAATTTAGCTGTCAGAAAAGATTTGTTTTGGAATCTATATATGATGTTCTTTTTTAATGGAAGACAATCCAATAATATACACTAAAAGAAAAAAAGAAAGGACAAAACATGACTGATGAGTCAAAAGTGTAAACAATCCAAACTTCCCCCAAATCACAAACCCTGCCATCAAGATTGAATAGATGTCATTACACTGCAGGAAGAGGAGACAAACAGCCGGAACTACAACTGAAATTGACTCACATTTAAGTATACAATACCTTCAGCTCACACCTCAGAGATGTCTACTAATACCAATGTATTCATTCATACCAGCTGTAGTAGTCAACTAGGAGGAGTCTGTCCTTTGGTCCTGGTGCTGCTGCAGCCTGCACTGGCGTGGCCAGGCTCGGCCGGAAGTAGGTAGAAGATGACCGACCCACAGCTAGTGACTGACCCAGGAGACACGAGTGACTGACTGACCAGGCGGGCACACTATTTGATAGCAGTGAGCACACCTGCATTGCTTGTGTAGAAATCGAAAAAGACGATCATTAGTGTTCAGTGGTATAGAATATGTTGACAACAGTGAACAATTAGCACTCAAGATGAAAGACAAAAATAAAAATAAAAATCACAAATAATCTTATTGAATGACTCTTACTTCCAGTTTAAAATGATGAATCTTAAAAATTACTTTTCAGATACATTGAGAAAAGGTTAAAAGTTTCACTGATTTCCTCCACATATAAAAAAAAAAAAAAAAGTGCAACTGAAAAACTCGGACCATTACCTAAAAAGCAGAAGTTTATACAAAAAAAGTCAGATAAACTTGTAAATGCTTTGTAAGTTAAATCTGTAACTCATTTCTATTCAAATGAAGACACTGAATACAACCTTTTTATAATACAAATAACTACAATAAAACTAGAGAAAGAAAATGGAATAATGTAAAAATTAAATAAAATTCTAAATCATAAATTTTACAGTTCTTCAAATGTAGGAGAAAGAAAAGAGAAAAAAAATTTTTTTTGATTACATGCAGAAAAATAGTAAACTGAATCAAAAAAATTAACAACCAGCATAGGAATTAAAATCCCATTATTTGTGTGAAAATGAAGTTCTAAGTATCTAACTGGAAAATACAACTATCATTGTATAGTGAAGTCAATCTTTTTCTTTGCCAAAAATTAAACTTAAAAGAAGGAATAAACCATACAAGTTTAACACTTTAAAATGAAGAGGTGTATTAAAGAAAAACAAAATGGTCATTCAATTACACTTAGTTCCATTTTTAGTTCAGGAGTGATAGAGACTAAATTTTAAAAAAGAGAAATAGAAAATCTGGTTAATCATTAAAACTTATTTGGAGGAAAAATAAAAATGTATAATAAAGAAATTAAAAAAGGATATTTAATTGGCCAAAGTATTGGACCAACTTAGTAAACCAGGTCAATAGATTACAAAGAAAACCCTAGTTTAAAACTAGGCTGCCTACTGAGAGAACACACTGTGCAAAAAAAAAAAAAAAAAAAGACAATGCAAACCTTGACAAAATGAACGAAGCATTATGGGTGAAGGGTGGAGAGATAAAAATAATCCAAAGGGTTTACAGAAACAAGCCCATTGAGAGACTTATTGATAAGGAAGGATTTTCTAGACCTTAATTCCAATCTTAAGGTTTCCTTTAATATAACAATAATCAAAATATTGTTAATATATGCTTTTACTGCCTGGGGATGCAATAAATATTTTTCTTAAAATCCAGTGTCATTCAAACCAACTGACCAAAGTCAATGGGCAACACTAACGTCAAATCTAATAAAACCCACACCACCAAATTTATTGAGTTATCAGTGAAAAGTGAAATAAATTTTAATATACATCACTTGCAACTGGAAGCATTATTCATTCAACAAATATTGCCTCTGTGATTTTTCGAAAAAGGAAAAAATTCACACAACAAATACAAATTTCAAACTATCCATCCCTGAGACGGTTAAACAATCCTTTGTCTTCATTGATATACTGCACAATGTAGCCAGGATGGTATTGCTACATTCAGGATTCAGAACTCACTTGGAAAGAAAGAAAATGATCCCCGATAAAACTAAGAAAAAGAAATTCTTATGCATTTTTTTTTTCTCTACAAGGAAAAAAAAAAAAAAAAAAAAAAAATCACAACAATACCCACAATTTAACACAAACTCATACAATGCACACATATTCTAGCATTTATGATATTAACAAATGATTTTAAAATATTTTAAAGCAATATTTGATTAACGCAATAATACTATGCTGCAAAAAATAAAAATAAAAAATAAGATACGAGGGGGGGGGGAAGAGGGTAGTGAAGAGAAAAGTAGGAATACCTCCAAAATCTAAGACTAATCTTAACTGTTGCTTCAACCCCCAAAATGATTCCAGCTGAAAGATGCTATAAAATTACAGAACCTAAATATTATATTAACAAATCCATCCTTCAACATTATTATCATAGAATTTAATTCATTTTACTTGTTTCACTCATTAGTTTCTCAAAAAGTAATAGTTTGTTTCTGGTCATTCTGGTGGAGGTTATGCTTACTGTAATCCTTTAAAAATTAATCATTCTTTATTTGTGTGCGGAATTTGAGCATGAAAAAAAGAAAAAAAAAGAAACGTGGTACTGTATAAAGTAAAACCATTGGTTATTAATAATTCCCTGCTCCCTAAATAGAAGAGAATATAAAGCAACTGATCCTGACTAACATTGTGACAGTATACACAAGACTAGCTCAAGTCTGTGTTCCTCCCTCAATATTAACAGCAAATACTGCAATGCAAAGAGATCACACTCCATTGACTAGTTGGGCATCAATCTGCATCCTGCGAGGTAATCTTTAAATGGTGGCGCTGTTAGCCGGCAGGAGGTTTCAGCTTTCATGGCATTTGATAGCAAATGATGGAAGTTAAGGCTGGCTCCTTACAATCACACACTGGATATTTGATACCCCCGGTTTTTTATTTTTAAATTTTGGAATCCAGTTTAAAAAGCCCTTCAGTTCAAATGTTTAAAAATTTGAATAAAGTTACACTTAAATTATCAAACTATAAAAGACACCCTGAAAAATGTTTATAAAAACATTTTATCAATTTTGAATGCATTTTGTATTTTCATAGGAAAAGACCAAAATATTTTGCTAATACTGATAACCAAAGGAATAGAAAATTTTCCGATAGTGTAAATACGCATTATGAAAGCATCTTTTGCTGAGTGGAGGGGAATAGAAGAAAAAAAAGAAGAAAAAAAAAAAAGAAAAACTGAAACTTCAGAATATCTACATAAGCACTAAAAAGGTATGTATGTATATAGATACACCAAGAAATGCATCCATATACATACATATAGAGGCATGCACAATGTATTATCCAGAAGTGAAGGTTATCAAATGTACCAGGGTATAAGAGAGCAGCACCAGCCTGAACTTCCTTCCTGTGAATCTCAAAATTTCAAGGTTGCAGAGTGGTCGCAGATTCCCAGGGAGAAAAAAATTGGACATTTTGAATTTTCCTAGAATTCATCATTACCATGATAAACATGCAAGAACACAGAAGAGTATGTGTGTGTATATACAAATATTCTTTTAGGGACATACAAAGTATATACATGCATATACATACACATAAATAAGTATGTTTATGTTTGTATATACACATACAGACACACACTGATAAAGCATAAGCCTTTTAAAAACATTTTGGTAATTTTTAATGAGAGCAAACTCTCAAAGTGCAAAAATGAGAAAAAAGTAAGAGATCTATTTTAATCTTTGTTAAAAATCGCAAAGGAACACAATTCCATAGTCTCACAGTGTGAAAGAAGATATTAAATCTGATCTTCATTTAAGTTTGGCTTAAGCTATTTCAAATGTTAGTTTTAGCTTTAATTAATATATTGAAATTTTTTCTAAATATCATTTTACAATAAACTTACCATACACTTCAAATGCTAAGCTTGAAGAAATGCATTAAACACCATTGGCATTAATAATGTTAATTTTTTTCAGTGTCACTTTGCCTCTGCCATAGAGACATAACACTTTACTAGGTTGAAAGACCTCTAAGAATATCCAGAATATCCAAGATCAAACTTGAAGAAATCCGGCTCTAAGTTCAAAGTACTCCTTCTGGACAAAACAGAAAGAGAAAAAATTTGATGGAAAAAATAAAGCTATTTTAGAAAATATTAAATTTTTTTCTTGTAAATCCTTAGTGCATTGATAAAGTTTTACATTCAAGGTTCATTAAAAATCCAGTAAAAAGAGAAACAAAAATATTTGATAGTATTAAATTGACTGGTAATAACATACTCTAAATGTAAACTAACTCTTACTTTTTAATTTCTCATTGTATCTTGATACAAAATATATTTTGAAGAAGCTGTCAGTGAAAATAATCAAGCGCAAAGCCCAAGTGTAAGAAAACTGCAAGCTTAGATTTATGACTCAGTGCAGGAAATGAACTGATGCATAACTGAGGTTGAAACCAAGAAGCATATCTCATTTTTAAAAGCATATACAAGAGAAAAAAAATCTACTAGAATATAGATCTTCATTGAGCGAGACATTATCAGATAGTCATGGCCAGTCTCTGAGAAAGAGAAAGACTTCTATATAAACAAGCTGTATTTGCAACGAGATATTAAACATTTCTCTGCCAAAACTAACCAAATATCAGGTAAATATATTATGTATCAAGATAAAGGCACAAAGAGAACAAACTTCAATAAATATTACAATTTAGATGGAGATGAAAATACTTTGGATGAATATAGTAACATTGTTCTTTTAGAAATGTTCAAAATAATATAATTTTAATAAAGGGCTTGCTATTTTTGTTTTAAAAATGAAAGAGTAAACTGAATCCAGGGGCATCCCTGGACAATCAAGCTGACCACACTGCAGTCTTCTGACAGAAGATAAAAACTTATTCATTAAACAGCTTTGACAAAGGATGGTTTAATGGCTCCGAGATAGTCTCAATGACTGGCAAGTTTTAAATCTGTTTCAATGGCAAGGTTGAGCAAGAGAACTGACGAGTTCGAAAGGAAAGCCTAATGTTGAATGCCAGTTGAATAATAAAGTCTGCGCAGTCTGAAAGAGAAACAGAAACAATGTAGTTTACCTTTGCTTCATCTAATCGCCCCAACGCTTTCAGCAAGTTACCCAGGTCACTCCGTACACAATACAAATCCTGCAAGTAGAAAACAAAAAAAATTAAGCAAATACAAGTGACACATAAAATGAAATGTGGTTACTTGAATTTCTTAACAATGCAATCATTATTTTTAACCGCCTCATCTCTTACAAAGAAAACTATAACTTTCTTGTTGCTCAATTATCAAGCTATATTATGTAGAATTTAAAGAGCAAATTGATTTTTGAATTTAAAAAACAAAAACAGAACAAAGACCAATAAGAATAAAGTGCAGTGTAAATGTGTCCATCTGTCTGTTTTTCAATCTCGGCGAATCATAAACAACCTGAAGTAACAGGTAGTAACTACTAATACATGATTAAAAATTAAATAACTCATTTAAAGTTAAATTTAAATATTGAACAAAGTGAAAGGTTTAGAAAACAATTCTTTATTAAAGGTTTAACTTTAATTTTACTTATTGTCACAATTGAATTTAATATTGTCTAATTAAACCATAATTAAAACTTAAGCAGGGCACGGTACACTGCTCATTTTTTTTTCTTTTTCTAGCACTTATACTTTGACATATTTGAAATATTACATAGTTTGGGTTCCCTAATGTCTTTTATGAGGGATTTTTGATGAAGGGATCATAAAGAATGGTGATTTTAAAAGAAAATAAAAATTGCACACAAAATAAATGTAAACAAACTAGAGAGATCCATTTGGAAAGATTATGCCAAATTATGGTAAAATAATTTTATTATTTCTAAATTCTTATAACTTCTATGTACATAGGATGCTGAATGTAAAAGGCAGAAAGCCCAAAAGCCCTCCACACGAGCTAGCCTAAAGCCTGCTCAAAGGGTAGCTTCTAGACTAGTAAATAAATAAAAATGAATATTTTAAAACCCTAGATGATTGAATGTGAAAGTGTTGGAATTTATACATTGTTGTAATGAAGAGAAGCTGGCACAGAGCCACTTGAGTGGGTCACTCCATCAGGATTAAACCCTCCCAACATCAGTTAACAAGTGCAACAAGGTAAGCTTGCTACCAATCACACTACACTAGGTACAGAGCTTGAAGGGAATATTAGGCTATTTTTGTGTTCCGTGAAGCGTCTTCAGCACTTTTGTCTAATTGCCGCAGATGATTTCAATAATTATCACTTACCGGGTTATACTGTAATGCTGTAACATATGCCTGCACTGCTTGCTCCATGTCTCCAGCGGCGACCAATGCTGCTGCCAAATTAATATAACCGTCAATAAAATCAGGTTTTAATCGAACAGCATGCCGATAATTTTCTAAGGCTTCCTGTAGCTGAGCTCTTTCTTTAAACACATTTCCTAAATTTGAATAAGCCTCTGCCAACATTGGGTTTTGTTTTATAGCTAATTGACTGAAATAAGCAGATCTGAAAACAAAAATAATAAAAATTTAAGAAATGTTTATGAATATTCAAAATTTTTACTTTACAAATCTTTAGAAAATGGAAAAATATTCAGAAAAATCAAAAAGGTAAAGTTCTGTTAAAACTAACATTACAAAAAAAGAAAGAAAAAAAAAAAAAAAAAACAATCCCAAACATCAAAATAAGTACTCAGCAGCACAAACTTTAAATAAGTGATACAAAATTCTAAAAAGATAAATTTAAGCCATGTTTAAAGAAAAAAGTGCATATAGCAAAAATTTATAAATTAAGCACCAACAAAGCAAGACATATCAAATTTTAAGTTACTCTGATCATTTTTATTATGTTAGAAACTGAAATATTAATTCTCTCTAGCAATTAAAGAAATGCAATGAAAGGAGAATGAAAAGAAAGTTCAGAGAATAAAGTAAATTCTTACTTATCAAGGCGTCTACACTGGAAATGGATGGAGGATAATAGTAATAACACGCCAGTATTTTCAGGCTCTTGTCTCCACAGTTGCATGCAATGTGATTCTGCTCGTTCATAATCACCAGCCTGATATTCTCTATGAGCCAATTCAGCCAATCCTGTAAATATCAAATTAAACTACCATTAATAATAAACATTTTAAATTATTATTAAATGAATCTTCATCAAACTTAAATATTGAATATTCATGATTTTCATCTAATAACACTGGTTAGAAATCATGTGTGGGGGTGGAGACAATGGTAACAGAGACATTTGGATCAAAAACAAAAGTGAAACAAGTTGTGTTAACAAGTGAACATTATATTCATCACAGGACATTTAGAAGACTAAACTTCTTTAGAAAACAAAAAAAGATTTTAATGCCAAAAACTAAATTTGTTCCAGAGCTCATCTTATCTGAATTAAATTTAATTTAGCAGTTTTTCATTTTCTTTTTATGCCAAGTGTCTTCACAGATCCCATTTTTTTTTTCAGTAGGAAAGAGAGTAAAGTGGTTTCCTGTTACCTTCTCTAATTTTGAATTTAGAATAGTCTTCCTCTAAGACTAGCTGCCACCAAAGGCTAAAGACCCAAGGTTTTATTTGACCTTTATCAGAAAAATAGAGAGAAAAAGAGTTGGATTTATGCCTTTTCCAGGATCATTTGTACAAAATGCAACCAGACCAAGCACCAAATGTATTCACTTGCATATTTCTGCTTTCTGAACTTAGACAGGCAGATCAGTCTTGAGGTAATGCTTACTACAGTGAATTACAAAAGAGACAAAAATAATTTTTTAATAAAAATAAAACAAGTAGAATAGTTTCTTGCATCTCTAAGTAATCAAAACTTTACCAATTATATACCAGATTTAAGTAATGTAAACTATCCTTACAAAATTAAAATTCATTTAAAATAAATTAAAATGTTGATTTGTTTGGTAGTATATAATTTTGTGATATGTCAAAAAAAATTTTAAACTTTCGAATTAAAGGGAATTTTTTATTTTATTTTATTCTGGCGGAGTTTCAATTTGCACAAAATAAAAATGAACTTTTTTTTCTTCCAAAAATGACTTGATTTTACTTGGAGATAGATTACTTCATAAAAAAAAAATTTTTTAAAAATCTCCCCACCTCCACCAAGTCAAACCTAATTCTATATATCATACAGGTTAAGTTTTATTTCATGTAATTAAATATGGTTCTAAATGTTTACTTCATTAGCTTCCTGTATTATTATGCTCTCTCAATAATGAAGGTTAATATTTTCTTATAAACTTCTTTTGGTTGAGGATTCTACAAGCTGATTTTATAAATTACCTGCCACTAGCACTTGCAAATTTTCTTAATGCATCTTTACAGATTTTTTCACTTTAAAGTACAAAATTGTTTTATATAGGCCAAAGGGATTCCTTTTTTTCAGGTAATTTAAAAAAAAAAAATTTTGTATTAGAACAAAATGACAGTCTTATGTAAATCTCAAGTAATGCTTTGGAAACTACATCAACCATAACCTTTTGAACCCAAGCGGACAGTATAATGGCTACCACATGAAAGTGCATATCCCATATTCATCAGGGGGTCATGGCTCAAAGGGTTAATACAGACCAATTCTGATCTGGCATGCATAATGTCAAGAGGAGATGAGGAAAGTAACAATGAATTCCTAAAGTTGTTCATTGAATTTGTAAAAAGAAAAAATTATGGCATCAATTTTATAAAAAAATCTCTGCGTTTAATCCCCTCAGATTCATTCAGTTTTAAGATGGGTAATATCTTTTACAATAATGAACAGAGTACAAACAGATGAAGCTAATTAAAAACAATTGTATTCTTAAGATAAAAAAAAATATGAGGTACCATCATATATTCACGATACCTAAGTTTTAGATTTCATTTTTAAAAATGAAAAATCTTTATTGAAGTTTTTATTTTAATTTCAAGCTGACAGATTAAATTTAGTATTTCCAATAAGCAAAATACTTTGCTGTATCTCAAAACTAATTTAAATTGATTTGAAGAAGTTTTGAAATTGCTGAAATTTTTTTTATTTTAGCACCATTATTAGCCAGCTGTCAATGAAATATAATTCACTTCATTAAAAAAAAAAAATCTTTGAAAAATAAAATATACTTTTCTGAAGCTTCATTTGAGGAATATTGGCTGATTTAAAGTATAATTAATCTGATTTGAAACATTATTTACTTTAAAATATCACAAAAATGCATTTTTTTTTTTTAACATTGGTAGTTGTTTATTTAATGTGTTGGCAACATGATGACAGACGGATATTTATCTAATATTGTTCGGGTGTGGGGTACCCATAAAAAAAATAATTGAAGAATGTGAGCGCCTTTTATATAATTTTTAAGCAATCTTAAAAATTTAGGAAAATATTGTCCATACTCTGTTTTATTGAATTTTAGATGCTATGGATTTAAATTTACTACATTTATCCCTCTTATTTTCTGATAATGTTGTATATAAAATCCCTGTCTACAAAAATGAGCACATTTATACACATACCAAAACAACTAGAAATTCTTTTTAAAATACATGGTGTTCATAAATTGTAACAGGCTTTACGATTTATGATTAGTACATATAGTTTTACCTAATATTACCTAACTGTTACACCACTGAAACGGAATTTTAAAAGATTTAAAAACTTTATTAATTGTAAATTAAAAAAAGAGAAAAAATAGAAAACATTGAAATTCTATGAAAGTTCATTATTCATCAAAAAAATTTTTTTAAGACAATAGTGCACTTAATATATCTTATTTATAAAAGCAATTAAAAGTTGATCTAATTAAATAATGTCTTAGTTTTATTGCATTTTTTATTTTACAATTCAGAACAGATCTTCAGTAAGACAAAGTCCCCCCCCAAAAAAAAATTGATTTAAATTCTCCTAGGAGTTCCGCTTTTAACTACTATAGTCATTAAAAATTATCTCACTAAATTTATATTCTTCATAAAATTAAGAGGGGTGTATATAACACGTATTAAGTAAATTTTTCAAATAATTTCACTCATTTGTGAATAAATAAGTCCTAAAACTTTCATGAAAATCTGACAATTTGATTTTTGCAAGAATTTCCAAATCAATGTCTTTCAGTGCAAAAATGGCATTAAAATTTTCTATGCTAATTTATAGCCCATCCACTGTTGGAAAAGAAAAAAGATTTTTAACCAAAATTTTGAACGTTCTGAAAAGGATTTAAAAATATAATTAAATAATCCAAAAAAGTACTTTCGTTTTTCTTCTTGGCATTTTTTCATCATAGCATACTCTTTTTTTAGCAAATTAGTGGAGGTACCTAACTTATTTTCACAAACTTTTCCTGAAAAAAATTTAACAAATTCTGCTCAAACACTAATAGAACACATTCATACTATACATAGCAACAAGTTATTGCAAATTTATAACTGCTGAGACACACTGGCACAAGATCTAAAACAAAATAGTTTGTTTGAAATTTCAACTGTCTCTTTCAGATTCTTAAGTACAAGTGTCCCTTTTGTTCCCATTTTCCTTAAAATTTCCTTGTTGCTCACATGTTCATCCATGTTATTCTCAGCATCCTTCTGTATAGCCACATCTGTTGCCTAAAGTCTCCTCTTCATTTCTAAAGAAATTGTCCAGCATTCACCACCACAGAAAAGGAACAGTCAAGCAATTGTTTCTTAATATTTTGTTCCGTTTTTGGAAAGCAGCTTTCACTACTACAATGTTACCTACAGATTTGTGTCACATCTTCCATATTTTTCCCCCAGACAGTTAAATTTTTGTACTTGTTTTATTTTGACATCTCCAATTTGTGTAGTGTACATCTTGGGCCATCACTCTTGTGAATGATCATAGTCTTTTTACAATTGATAATAATGAGCCCTTTCTTAATTATCTAGAAGTTTCTGCAGTTCTGTCTGCTGTCAAGTGTCATCTGTATATGTTTAAGATGGTGCCTACCAATAATAAATCCTTGTAGGAATTATGTTTCTTAAAATTACCTTGCTGTATAGGTTTAAATAAATCCAGTGAAAAAACACATCGTTGTTTTATGCACTTTTCTATTTTTGTGTATTTTCTATTCGTATGCAGGTAGTTTGTTCCCTGTAAAGGTTCTAATATCCTTTCTGAATAAATCAGATTTTCCTAACAGTTCATAAGTGTTTTGCATCATATCTTATCAAATACTTTTACATAGTTTATGAAAAATAGGCATACATCTTGCATTTATATTGCCTGCTAAAGCCTATATTTTTAGCAAGTGACTCAATGTTCAATATAGGTAAAATGGGCTCTTACTTTGTATGTCAAGTTAGCTAAACCATATCTTTATAAATGGCAATAAAAGGATAAAGATTTGGCTAAAAACTATCCAAATAGCTAGATGTCTACCTTAACTGCATAAAGTAGACACCTCGCTGAATATTTCCTAGTCAGAAACTAAAGCTACATTTTTTTCTGATCATCCAAAATAAGTAAAAAATTGTGTTGTTTACATTTGTAACAGGAACAATGGCCACCAGAAAATCAATAAAACCCATAAACTCCTAAATGTTTATTCATCCTCATAAAATATAATTAAATTCAGTTATGTTTGTGTTTAGTTTATTGTTGCAATTAATTTATGTGAGATAAAAAGATTTACATAAAAAAATATCACATATCAAGAATTCTCTTAAAATTGAAAACGTGGGTGAAGAGAAAAATTCATAAAAGCCTGTTATGTACTCAAGATTACAAAATTTCTTCATTTCGAATACAAATAAATGCCAGTAAAAAAAAATAAATAAATAAAAATAAAGTAAATAAATTCCGAATGATCTCTAAATAAAGTAGGATTCAATAAATATACTATTCCAACCCATAATCTTTTTACTATGCTTTCTGTAGAAATTAGCTTAAAATTCAGACTAACGTATGGCGGGTTTTCAAATAGTTATAAAAATTTCATAAACAAAATAAAAAACATTGTTGCTGGAATATTGAAGATTGATAGGAATCAAGTCAATCAAGTGAGTTTAAGACAAAAACCGATGCATTCATTGGTGTGTCTCGCCATCATAAATTTGAGGTAGGTATCATATGCTTGTATTGGGATTATTTATTCAAGAATACAACATCGATGGGAGAGAAAAAATTACAAAACAATCAACAAACCAAATATTAAGGACATTATGCATCACTTCACTGTAGATTCCAGGGGTTATTTGAAACTAATCCCAATCCTTTTTAGGGGGTGGGAGCCTGATGGATAAATCACTACAACTGAATAAACCAAGAATCAACGGTGACCAAAATCTAGCTCTAGCATGTCAATGGCTTAGCTATGGACATCATTGTATCACACGTCTGCAAGGATTACCTCGTCATAAACATTGAAGAGAAAAAAGAAAAGAAGCTGTATGGTGCTGTACCGTCTCTTCCAATTGTAGCTAGTTGCAGAAAACAGGCAATATTATAGCTAGATTTTAATCGAAGCTTTCTTTTTTTTATTATTAATTCCTTGCTAATAAATGCATTTTTTAGAGCAATGTTTGAAACTGCAGAAAAGCATTTATTTTCGAAATCCAATTCACAAACTGAAGAAGAAAAAAAAAAACTGTTGCTCGGGCAAAGCTGACTGCCATTACAAGTTAACTAAGTGTCGAGGTGACAAAAATGATAATATTTGCATCCTCACTGAAATTACGGGGGCGGGCGGGCGTGATGATGCTTATTAATCAAGCAACATTATGATCACCAAAAAGAAGAGCGGGGGGGGGGGGAGAGATAGGGGATCACCAGATTATTTTTGGTCAGTAAACTTTCTTAAAAAAAGCAAACGTTTTCCAGAACGAAAAAAAAAAAAAAAAAAAAAAAAAAAAAAGACAAAACAAAAAGCTACAGCCTTTTATTTTTAAAAATAAAATCCTACTACTTGGAACTTGGTAGTTAAAACTCTCTCATTTAACTTGGACGTCACCGTCATATTGCAGCGAAGATAAAACGACTGCTGCAATGAGGAGGAGGAGGAGGAAGAAGAAGAAAAAAAAGACATTGCATATTTAATAAGATGGGAGAGTTGGGTTCTTTTTCCACTCCCCTCACTGGTAAAAATAAGTGGAAAAAAAAAAAAAAAATCTGGGACCCCCCCCTTTTTTTTTCACCTCGCATTTGCTTCTCTCTCCTCACCAGCCATTGCAAATTGTCCATCTTAAGACTATTATTTACTCATTGACAAAAAACAAAAGTGCAATTGAACACTTTATCACAATTCCATTATCTTCGCACGAAAAAAGAGCAGCTCTCAGGCACATTTTATTTAACTTTAAAGAAACTGTCACCGAACTAGAAAGAAAAATGACAACTCATTTATTATTGTCTTGATCTTTGTTGTCATGTCATTGGCCGCACCCAAAGCGAGAACAAACTGACGGATTTCATTTGTTTTCTCTACTAGCAACTCTCGACCAATTTAGTGAAATAAAATAAGAGATAAGAAAAAAAGGTAAATAAATGATGCATTTTTTTGTTGCTCTGTTACCCTCGTGGAGTCTTTAGCTTTTACGTACGACCGCCAACAATGGGAAAACATGAGGAGAGATTCTTGAAAGACAGAAGAAAGCTCCCCCACCCCCGTAGAATAGGAGGAGGAGGGGATTGTAGCGACGATCAACTACGCAACATTTGAATGTGTGGCAGAAACTTCCTATTTTTCGCCTTCATAAATTCAACAACAACGACGACGACGACGCTCTTGAACTTATTATTATGGGGTTGTTTCTTATTATTATTATGATGGAGTTTCTTATATTACTTCCGTTTTTCACAGGATCTCAAACGAACAAAGTAAATATTTTTCTTTTACTTTGTGTAGATATTTGCAATCAATCGAAACTATTTTTTTAGCTATTTTAATTTAAACATTAAAAACATTTGCTTTGCCTACCTATAAAGACATTTTCGGTAAAAGCATAAACAAAATATATAAGAAATAATTTTTAAAACGGTCATTTCGAATTGATCGATAAAATAAAGCTAAAATTTTAGATTTTTTCTTTTTTTTCTTAAAAAAAAAAAAAAAAAAAAACAGCAATCAAAAAAAGGAAATCATTTATAAAGAAAAAAAAATATGACAGCATTTATGGGTCATGGAGACCTTTTTTATTTTTTTTTGCTTGTTTTTGTTTTTTTGGGGGTTTTTTGTGAGCAACCAGATCGTTTCATCATCATGTAAAATGAAAATGTTTCTATTATTAATATAAAAACCAATTGAAAATATTCAACGTTAGCAATCAACCATGAATTTAATTATTAACTATAAGAAAAATATATTTAGAAAAACGAAAAATATAAAATCTATTAATAAAAATCTACAACTCTCGGAAGAAAACGCCATTCTTAAACAAAACAAAATTTTTTTATAAAAATCATATATATATATATATATATATATATAGCCTATATATTTATTTATTTATTTATTAACAACAGGTTTGTTCATCATGAAAATTCAAGATAAAAAATTAGCTTTTTTGTTTGTTATGATCACACTAATATAAAAATCTATCGAGGCCTACACGTGTCTTTTTTTAGGAATCTAAGATCCCAAAATTTCTGTTATCAACAAAATGAATATAAGCTTTATTTTAGGATCATTCATAATTATCATTTATGAAAGACAAACAAGAAGACAATAATGGGGGGAAAAAAAATCACAATAACATAAAAAAAAAAAAATTATTACCAATGTTTCAAATAATATCACCAAACTTTTACCATTTAAATTGATACTTAAAAGAAATTATTTGATCGATATCTACACTCGGACTTAATTTTCTTTTCAACGTCATAAATAAAAATATATCTTCATCAGCTTCGGATGAAAGCAATCACCATGAAAACCATGATGAAGGTCTCATGACACAACAAGCATCGTCCTGGATTTAAAAGTAAATCATTTCGAAATATTAAAGAAAACGATTTCACTGAGATTGAATTGTGATCAAGTTTATTTCAAATTAGAACATATCTTTAAGAGATTCGATGACTTGAAAACAAAGAAACCATCAAATTTATTCAGAGCGCTCTCAACATCAAAGTCGTGGGGGACATTTTATCAGCTGCATAGAGACGGAAAGTTTAAACTAACAGGATTTTTTTAAAATTCAAGTTAGTTTTGAATTTTATTTTCTCCAGAAAAAAAAGAAAGAAAGTTTGTGAAAAATAAATAAATAAAAGGGAATAAATAACACGATCAACTTCTTTTGGAAACAGTGAGTACACATACATAGGCAGAGTAATATCAAAACTGGAACAAACTCAAGACATTACTGGGGCAATTAGAAGGAAAAGGATCATGAAGACGCACAAACAAAGCAATTTGAGACTAACCTGTCGTATCGGTAATTTGCGACATTTTTTTATTCCTGGTTTAATTTCTTTGTTTAAGTTATATGTCCGATAAAGTCACTACAAATATGGCGTCTCTCCTCCTTGGCCTTCTCTTAGCTTATTATTCCAATTGTCGACTCTTCTGGGACGGGAACGAGCGAGAAATACTCCTTCGGAATACTTCGGCAACAATCGCCTAACTACGTCATCACTCCAGTTCTCAATACTTTAGATAAGCAATTCGGTCTCTGGCGAAACAAACCGAAAATAACCGATGAACGTCCTCCACCCAATCAAACATTAATCACCTGATTCATTTTTTTTTTTAATTAATTCCTAATTTTTACAAAAACTTCCACGAAATTGTTTCATTTTATTTTCATTTAAAAAAACTAAATCGATAAAAACAATATCTTCATACAACGCTTGCATTATGATCGACACTAAGCGGAATGATACGAAGTCGTAGTTTTGACGTGGCGTCACAATCCTTATTTGCCCTGCTCCGGCCACTGGTATCCGCCTAATAAAATAATCCGGTTAAAAACGAAGCTGTATTATAGGCTTTAAGCAAAAATGTCTTCACCTTAAATAAAATTTATCACAGCTTTTATTTTTAAAACTCAACAGCGTACAATAGGATTTTATCCGACAACAATGTTCACATAACCATTGGCATTAACATTATTTTTTAATTAAAAATTTCCACCACAGTAAGAAGATGATCAACTGAAACTAAAAAGATGCCCCGACGTTAATAATGGGCTAATAATGTAGTTTAGCATTATTATTGTTGTTTAGTGAGTTTGATCCTCACTGGGTGTCCATGTTTGTGGTCTGATGTCAAAACAAGCTTAACATGATGTACTGAAAGAAATTAAATTAGGAGTCGTCATATTGAAGCTATTTTTATTTATTAACATAATTAGCTGATCAATATGTTTTTTTTTATTTTAAAAAAAGTTAATCTTAGAGATTCTAAAAGAAAATAGAACAGGTAAATAAATGTTTGGTTTAAGAATGGTCTAGAAAAATAAATAAAAAATAAATGTATTTGCGTACATAGTTATTTATGCATAACTGTTTTTCCAAGGACGAATCCATGACAATGGCTTGAGAAATTAAAGAGACTTCACTTAATTAATTAACAAATATTTCTTCTTTCACATACATTATTTTATATTTTACGCTTGGTTTATCGACTTTATTACGCATGAATGTGTTAGTTATTTTGACATAGAATTTAATATCCAAACAAGAGAAATGCTTTTAATCGTATTCTTATCTATTTCAAGGTTTTCGTTTATCACATCATCAGCAGTAGTGTCGGAACATGTGGTTATATTTTTATTTATTTAAACCTACGCTTTTGGGGCGTGTTATTTCCATTTCAACTTTCATTTATTTAAAATTCGTTCGAAGCTGTGTGCGTGTGTGTGTCTCAAATTCTAAAACACAATTGAATTGTATATGTTTGAATGCCAGGTTTCTGTCATAGCAGTTGCTTGCAATGGTCAACGAGTCTCGTCATAAGGTAGCTTTTTTTTTTTCTTTTTTTTTTGAGATGAGCAAGCCCACTTGCCACCAAGAAAAACACGAATTAGAGCTCGTCCTGTGCTCATAAACCTTGTGCCATCAAAAGCTGTTGATGTTAAATAATCAGTTAATTATTAAAAAAAAAAAAAGTATTTATAAATTAAATATGAAAAAATTGTTTTTAATTTTTGATTATCCTTTTTTTTTAATTTATTGAAAAATTCATTTCATCAATCCTGATTATTACTTCACACAAAAAAACTAACTTTTATGCCTAAACTGAATAAAAAAAAATCTTCTATCAGGAAATGCATGAAGCATTTTCATTGTAAGAAGAGAGAGTAGTAAAATAAAAATAAATAATCCAACATTGTCCTCGTTTGGATTATATTGAATATTGATGAAGTAAAAATACTAAGTCGGTTTTACTTTTATTTTTAGTAGTGCTACCGACATGTTAATTTTTTTATGTCAATGTTGAGGATTTTTCCTTTCAAAATATGAATATTATTTTTAAACAGGTTAAAAAAATTTTTACAAGGCCATATGCAACGTTTCCGAAAAAAATCAATGTTTTCTTATCATTTTAGGGCTGGACCGTTAATTTAATTTTTTTTTTTTTATTTATTTTTTTTTTTTTGACTAAGTAAGTCTCATATCGGAGGAATTTTTAACTATATTTTTTAATATTTTTCATTAAATCTTCTTAAGAACTTATTAAACACCATCACCAGAAATGATTTGAGAATTTATTTTTTTTACATAGAGCTAATTAAAAAAATAAATTCCCAAATTAAACTTTCTTTTTAAAAATATCACCTGAATTTCAACATTAATAAAAATTAAAAACTTAGACAAAAAAAAAATTATAGTTAACCGCTGTTATACTAATAATTTAAAACATAGCAAATTTCTTCTCTGTAAAAAAAATATTGTTTTCCGGTAAATGAAGTGCGATAAAGAATGGTATAATTAAAATAAATTTTAAAAAATGCAAATTATTGAGCTTTAGAAAAACTATGAAAAAAAAATTAATATTATAGAATCCAAGGAACTTTTTCAGTGGTCACCGGCAACTAGTCACCATTATTAACCATAACTGTATTTTTTCATGTTTAGATTACCAAAACCTTTTCCAAAACTAAGTATATTTCCCTTTAATTTGTATTTTCATAAAGTAATCTAAATGCCATAATTTAAAAAGCGTACGTGCCGGTTTTACTAATTTAGAAATCCTAATAGATAATGCTCAAAGCAGCTGTTAAAATGTTTTAAAATGGCATATTTATTTTATTTACATGGGCAAACTAAACAAAACTACCACGTGGCTACAGGAAATTATTATTTGATTCTTTTTTTATCTTGTAAAAGTAATAAAAGTTAGTTTTGTGAAGCACTCAGGATCAGCAATGAACTGAATTTCAATAATTTTTTAAAAAATATAAAAAAAAAAATTCATTTTGTCCTTAAGAACATTCCATCTTTAAAAAAAAAACTTACATTTTCCTCCACACCCAGATGCATTGTTATCAAAAAGACAATTTTTATACTAAGTTCCAATATAGTTTAAAACTTTAATCACACATCAAATATAATCTACTTATTAAAAAAATAATGATACACACGTTTAAATTGGTAGAAAAATAAATATATTACATTTTTGGGGAAAACTTTTTTTTAAATAAGAGATTTTTTGCATCTCAATATAATTTTAACTTTAATTCTCAATAAGAAATAAACTTGTACGATCATTACATACAATTAAAAAAATATGCTAAGTGATAGAGGGTGTTTAGAGTACTATTATTAATTCAATTTAAACTTGGATTTTACAAACTCATTTATGAACATCATAGGATGAAGGAATAATAATAATAGCCAACAAGTCTCATCAAAAGGTTGTTTTTTAAAAAATTGATATTTGAGGAGATGAGTTTGCCAAGGAATACCACTTACCACCATGAATCACTTGTGAACTTTTTTTTTATAGTTTTGTTTAAACACTTAGGTGCTCATTAAATATTACCTTGTGCCATCAAAAGATGTTAATCAAAAAACTAAGACAGGAGGCCGACAGGCTAAATGTTTAACATAAATGGTGAATAATAATGTTATTCAGGCGTATTTAGTTATTTATTGAAGATTAATAAAATGTAGATAATCGACTTACGTTAGAGATGAAATGGCTGAAAGTATTTAGATAATATCTTTAAAGAATTAATTAATGGATTCATTTTTAATCCGACATTTTTATTCAAAGATAATTTCAACTGCAATAAAGAAAAGGGCGAAATTTTTATCTTTTCTTTTTCATATTTTATCAATGAATACTTTCTGACTCTCTAATTCCAAAAATTATTCCTTTTAGTTTTAAACAAAACATAACTAATTTCTCTTTCTTTTGTTTTTTTTGTTTTTGTTTCTTTTTGCTAAAGCACACACAATTATCAAACAACAAAAAAACACATTTTGAAACCTTTTGTTAGCTTGACAATTAGAACAAAAAAGTTATTTTATTGTTTTATTATATATTTCTAGTTTTAAAATTTTTCTTTTCGTAGCAATATATAAATAAATTTTGACAGTTGCTTTTAGCATATTTTCATTCGGGCATGTCATAGAGCAATAATTGTAAGAGAGAAGTAATTACTGTCAGTGTCATGAAATAAAGTTTTCAAAATGAGGAAACACAAAATATGATGCATGCAAAATAAACTTTGCTTTATCATTTGAAAACTGGGTAAATATACTTACCGTAAAATCTAATCATGATAAATAAGCAATGTGGAAAAGCAACTGTTAAACTTCTTAACTCAGCAGACAAGAGAAAATTAAAATACGAACAGAAAGTTCTTTGAGGACTGCTGAGACATTGTTTGTTGCTTCGTTTCCTTCTAAAAGAAATGCGCAAAAAAGCGTGTGCAGTTTTCTTTTCTTTTTTTACTTAATTTTGAATTTTGATTCATTTTCTTTTCTTTTGTTGTTGTTTATAAATTAAACTAAAAAAAACTTTAGTTTATAAAAGTACTTTTTAGTTACTAAAGTTAAAGTATTTTAAATATTTGGCATTTTTACATGCCATTGTTTTTACTTTTTACACAGACGTTTTTTTACGTCATTTCATTCATCAATCAAGTAATTTAAATTAAGTTTACTGAATCTCTTTACAATACGTTTTGCTTAAAACTAATTATGTTATATTTTCAAGTTTTTATCATCATCATCATCATCATCATCATCATCATCGTGTTCATTATTTTTTTGTTTTTTTACTGTAACATTTTTTGTAAGTCATAATCCGATATTAAAATTGTTTTTTGTTTTGTTTGTTTTTCAAATAGCAACTGCTCGCCTAATCTGTTTTAGTTTTATTGTTATTGGCATATTACCCGTCAAAATATGATTATTTTTACGTGCGGATTGGCGCTTTCTTTAACTTTTCCTAGTAAAGTGTAACCCGGATATAAGAGACCCGGATATAAGAGAAAC